AAGTAAAGCCACACCCCCCACTATGTTCTTGAAGTGTTCCTGTGTTGTCTTCTAAGAGAGTATCATGAGTGGTGATTGCATGCTTGCCTAGTTCTACTTTAATAAACGTCCGAAAATCGTTACCTACAGACCTTCCTCCATCATACTCTACATATGTGTTCTCTGCATCTAGTAGTCACGCTGACTTCTGTGTTGGGTTCTTCGCCCTGAACTCCGGGTCTTTGTAAGGGCAAGCTGTTGCGCTGTGCTTCTGGTATCCCATCGCAGGACGCATAGTTGCGCAAGGTCTGCAGAAGTGGTATACCTTACCGTTCCTGCTGGAATGAGCCCTGTTGTCTTCCACAGTAGCCTGGCATTCGCCTTTGTTGTAAGCATAACACAGCTGTAGGTCTGTTTTCTTGGCGGCCTTGCTAGCATCCCTAGGAGGGACATCTCCCTTGCGTAGGTGAACAGACTTCAAGTTTCGTACCTTCTTCATGAAGTGCCTGTCCCCCCAATCCAGCTCGCCCTGCTCGATCTGCATGAGCACTACAGCATTGAAGTGAAGCACGGCTTGGTAACCGAATTCTGCTACTTCGAACATCATGAAACGCATGAGCTTGAGCCTCTGCTTGCTTTCTATAGAGTTCACCTTGTGCGATAGAATGATATCTAGTGAACCGGCAATACACTCATGCCATTCCAGATCATAATAACTTTTGCCACCGTTCTTTGTGTTAGGCAATCTCTCCTGTGGAAACAAGACTTTCCTCTTCACCTGATCCGTACACTTCCTCAATACCCCGCTCTTCAACTTCGCCCCTTTGGACCGTGAAGAACTCGACCTACCTCTGGAGGCTCTGGAGTGATCACTTGAGCTCGAGCGTGAGGTCGATGATTCGGAAGACGAGCTCGAGCTCCGCGCGCTGGCTGCCGCTTTCTTGCTACGTCCGCGAGACGGTGGCGGGGACGAGGCTGCCCTGGTATGTAGGTCTTGCTTCATCCGAGTGAACTGGCGTAGTTCGTTGGCCGAGATTCGTGTTTGAGGCTCGCGCCTGCCGTCCCCAAGATGGCGCCCGAGAGTAGGCGAGTTCTCGCGAGACTTCGCAGCCGTGACGTCACGCGAATGGCGGGTTTTTCGTTCGCCATTTTGTTGTTGACCTTCTTGAACTTCAAGCACTGACCTTTCCATCCGCTGTAAATCCACCTTCAAGGCCTCTATTTCCCCTGTAGCCTCCCTTATCTCTTCCTCCACTTCGTCCACGTCTACTTCTCGCCTTGCCTCTCTCGGTTTTGGAACTGGGAATCTCGGGGTCGAGGTTGACCTCGGCCGAACGTCGTCCCGCTGTTGTTCATCTAAACCTTCTGTATAGTAGTCTACGAATCTCGCCGGCCTTCTCGACTTCCTCTTCCCTGCGCCCCACATTCTTGCATGCACTTTCTGACTCAGCTGAATGAAGGATGACTGAAGGATGTTGTTTAAAATGCAGAATTCTTGGCTCTCTTATTTTGCGTGCTGCCAAGCAAGTAACCCGAACGTAAGAATGAAGCATGCTGGGACCTGTTGGGCGGACACTCCCTCCCGGAGGTGCAATCCCGACGAATTCCGCCGGGTGGCGCAATCCGCAACCGATTAAATTTTCAGCGACCACTGTGACCTTCATCAGGATAATTTATGACCAATCACTTCAAAATTGATCTCTGTATAACTTGTATGTTGGAATAAAGTTCAACGTTTTACTATCGTAATGATTACTACCAACACAGGTGAACTTTCATGATAGTCTACTTCTATGTTTGTTGCAGATAAGAACGAGTGTCAGAATTCCGGGGATAATGAGTGCAGCGCTAATGCAGACTGTCACAACGCCCCTGGCTCCTACCACTGTACCTGCCGTACAGGGTACACAGGGGATGGACGGGAATGCCAGCGTAAGTCAGCACACAATTCAACAGCTTAATGTCAGTTAGGCCACACCTACTTTAGACCACAGCAAGAATGTGGATCTGAATAAAACTCAAAACTCAAACTCAAACTTTTGCCTGTTCTAAAAAAAAAAAAAAATCACGTCCTCCGAGGCTCTGGCCTAGGTACTACATGGTAGTTAGCGTCAATACGGAGCCGGTGGTAACTCTGGAGGACGGCATCCAGGCTACAGAAGCTCCACGACTCAAAAACTCAGTGAATACAGTGCCGATTCATATATTCCGCAAAAGGCCAGCATGTGCCGGCTTGTCGCATACGTACATCACTGTGTATTGCCACAAATTCACAATACATGTGCCAGCTTTGTATTCCTGTGGTTTAGTAGCATTTTTATTTTGGGCCGGAATATTTTTTTATTCGCCCGCAAGCATTAGTTTGGGGGTCTTCAGAGGATGTCATCTATAGAGCGTAATCAGCCGTTTTAATTCTATGTAGAGTGTAGACGGACCACTCATTTAGCACATTTTGCGTAGAGCGTAATTCGAGTTTTAATTCTATGTAACGCGTTGTAGCCACTTGGAATTTATCGTAAAGCGTAATCTCTACTGTAGCAGGCTCTGAAAATTTGTCAGGACCCCCCCATGCAGGTCCTCATGAAAGTGACTTTATTTGTTGTGTTTTGTTTGTGGTAATTCTAGCTGAAAGTGTGGGACCTGTGATCTTGCGCCCGCTGCCTATCCTGAACCGCGAGACGGCAGACACCATACTGTTCCGATGCCGCTACTCGTACAACCGCCCGGACGGAAGTGGCGTGTTTGTGACCTGGCTGAAGGGAGACGTGATTCTCTTCCTGGGACAGCTGAAGAGGATCCACGACGAGAGAATCACTGTCGACTATGGGGAGGGGCAGTCTGATCTGACCATTAGACAGGTTGGTATAACGGGGGGTGCCCTAACTTCAGACGCCTTTTCACGCGCTCAAACTCGAGACGACAGTGGTGTTGACGTTGTTTTTCATGGGTCAGTTTTCTACGAAACAAACACCCACGTATTTGCTGTTTTGTAAAGTTTTATTCCTTGTGTATGTGGCAGTTGTGTCAAATCTTGGTAGAGGTCATTTATTTCTGGGCACGAGTCGCCGCAATGCAGTGACCCACTTTCCAGCCCCATTGTCATGATTAGTGAAAATGACCGATATGCTCTTTTTCAATAAAACGATAAATAGATATATTGATACTATACTTTGCATGCAAATAACAGTTGTATGCATTGATTATGTTTATCATTTGATCTATCTTTTCACAGACAAAACTATCGGACTCTGGAGCGTACACATGCCTGATCAACTCTGTTCCTCCTACTAACTCCACTGGAATCCTCAACGTCCGTAAGTACATTTTCTAGTGCTTCCCTGTCTTTGTCATTGTCTGTTTTTCTACTCAGAGAAAGATGTACCACAAAGAAAGTAAAAAACAAACAAGATGACGCTATGTTCATGTATATCATTGTCAAGACAATAAATGGGTAGTCACATGGGATCTACATGTTGTAGGAATTTTTTTTTTACACAACCAGTATAATTGTCTCTTACCTTGCTTACACTTTGGTGTCTATCAGACACCTTCCTCAGAGCTTCTGACTGGAGTTTTGCTTCGATCTCACCATATAGCATATAGCAGTGAGAAGCAGAACTCCAGTCAGAAGGTGTCTGATAGATACCAAAACAAAAGCAAGACAATACTGGTTGACTGAATGTGTAAAAGAAACTTCCTAGATCCTATATGCTGTACCAACCTGATGAAACTATTTTCAGATGTGTAGTCATGGCCTACATGTTTGTATGGGCAAAGCAGCTGTATTAAGTACTCTAAGTTTTTTTTGTACACCCTCCATTCTACAGAGTGTCCTCTTGGATATTATGGGTCAGAGTGCAGAATTTGTCCGTGCCGGCGTGGCCGTGAGATGTGTGACCCGTACAACGGCTGTCTGCCATGTGCAGACGAGCAGACCTGTGAAAATGGTGGGCATTGAACAAGTTATACATTTTTGTACTTCATGTACTACCTGGCTTTTAGCTAGGGGGTGTCCGGGTTGATTTTAGGACGTCAACGCCCTGTACTGAAAATAATAAGAAATTGGACACCCTACTTTTTGGTAGGACACCCTATTATAAAAGACACCTTATTTTTACCCACTACTAACCTCTGCCATGTGTGCACAAAAATGATAGTTTACTGAAGGAAAAAAATCAAATCCTCAAAATTTGCACCTCAAAATGCATGTAGTGTTTGATAGCATTATGAATTTAACCCCCCCCCCCTTAAAGCTCGGGCACCGCACTTCTTCACTGCACATAGCATACAATAAGAAAATGGACACCCAACAAAAAAATCCTAGCTAAAAGCCTGTGCTGTGTTGTACGTATTGTAGTGGATTCACATGTACATTGTACATTGTACAATCGTAGTATATGTTGTAGAACATAAAATTGATGATATTATATCTTGTGGAACCAAGAAAATAACTGTTACAGTAACAGAGCTGAAGTGTTTCAAATCATGAAGTTGAAATTTGACTTATAATAAATAGGTCACTCATTAAACATTGACAATACAAATACTAACAAATGCATATCACAATGGCCTGGAAACATAGTACATGTTTATTACTATTAGATACACTATGACAGTCATTGTAGTCATTGTTTGTATGCTTGTTTGTTCACAGTGCTGATGAAATTTGAGGGTAGCCTCAGGATAATCTCGGAGAGTTGGAAACCAGAATTGGCTGACAAGACCAGCACAGAACACCAGAAACTGGCTGCCACAGTACAATTTGGCGTAAGTTCATTATACATGTATTCTTGTCATCCAGGTTTTTTCATTGCACAGAATTTCTTTTGATTTGTCTTGGCATTTGCCCAAGATCACCTCCTGCATGCTGTAATTTGATGTGGTCTTCATTTTTTTCATATTTTGTATGTCATTATAAGTATGGCAACAACAATGCTACAAGCCTATATATAAGTACATGTATATATAGTAGGAATAGTAAGATTATCTAAATGTATGATGCACTCAGTGACAACATAATGTGATGATTTCTTTTCAGTTGGATGAGATCTACAGAAAGAGCCCTCTATCTGGAGACTATCTTCATGCTAAAGTCAAGCAGTTCAGGTAATAAGAAAAAAACTGTTATACATCATGTACAGCATATACATACATACATACATACATACATACATAGTTACATACATACAATGTACATACATGCAATCATACATACATACATACACATTACACACATTACTAAGTTATTACATGTAATATTCCTAAAATCCACTTCTTAAGCTAATTAATATTTAATTTAGTATATACATATAGAATACAACACGGGGTATTCCGTATCGCCTGAGGTATCGGCCTGACCGCGGCCGTCGGGCAATCCGACTCGCGGGAGGGCCGGGACCGAGGGCGATGCGGAATACACCGTGTTGTATTTTATTTATGTCATACCCACCCAAGAAAACCACCTTTCAATGCAAGATGAGCCAAAAGTTGGTGCCACTAAACCCTAAAATGCAACAACATCAATTCCAACGTCCGGATTCTGTATTCGAAAGGGGCACAAGCGGGTATGGCGAAACGCGTTCGAATCGTTTTATGGAAGCCATGGAAGTGTTCGATAACAGGTTCCCTAAAGTACGGCCCGGTCCGGAACCCGTCATATCGAACGTTATCGCGGCCCGGGTATGATATAAATGTACATATAGTGCCCATAGTTAATATAGTGTGAGTTTGTGTTAGGTAAGGGCTGTACACCATCTCCTTTCAGTGATTGTCCAGCTTTGACTTAAAAGCATTAAATTTTACACTTTTGGCTGCTACAACATCGGCAGGTAGACTGTTCCAGGAGTTGACTGCCTGAATACTGAAAAAGTTAGATCTGGTTGACTTTTTGGCCTCAGAGGTTTGATGACCTTGTATGGGTGACCTCTCGTGCATCCATCTACTTGAACATTAGCTATTTGGGTCGACACGGTCAAAACCCTTGATGAACTTTAACACTTTAGGTGGTCACCTTGGACAGGTTGCTTAATGCTTGCATCAATGGGGAAAATTTTTGAGACTAAGAAAAAGCAGTCACCATGGACAGGTGGCCAGCTTGAAGCAGCTCGCTTGAAGAGGTGGTCACCTTGGCAGGTTTGACTGTAGCGTTACATGTTAATTACTATAATATAATTGAAAGTTGAAGCTGACCTCGAAATCTCTCCCCTGTAGTGAAGGCAGTGTGGTGAGTGACTTCACCCTGTATTTCCGTCCGGGGTCGGACATCGGGCCTGATGACGTAGGGGAACAGATGAACGGCAAGGTCAGCATTGGCGGCCTCAAGGTTGATCCTACAGCAAGTGGGATTGAAGGTAAATATCATCCTAAAAGTTTGTCTCCCACAATAGATAGTTGCTCTTTTCCATTGTTATTATTTTGCACTTTCAGGGACAAAACATAGTGTTGCTGCAGCAGTAGTTTGGATGCCTTTTATTTACCTTACTTTCAGTAAAAACAGCAAATGTACGAGCTTGAAAACCCAAACCCCAGATGACAGTTCTAAATAGAACACTGGTTCTAGAACACTGTTTCTTATACGAGGGTCTGCATGGGGGGTCCTGATTACGCTTTACGCTAAATTTATGAAGGCTCGCAACGCTTTACGTTAAATTCCAAAAGGCCGGCAACGGTTTACGCTAAATTCTAGCGGCCGGTCTTGCTGACTGCCTCCTTCAATACCCCGAGTTGTTCGTCTATTTTGTTTATCAACTAACTCACATTAGTCACTTCGATGTCTTGAAACACTGACGACTCCACATTGCAACGATACTGGGTCAGAATCGACCCCGTATGCAATAAAATGCGCACAATCAGGGGCGTCGCGTGAGCCAAGGGATTGTACCGCACACATGGACCCGGACATGCCAGATGGGACGGGCAAGAAAGGGACAGACAACATGTCATTCGCTGGTTGCTAGTTCGTCCGCTACGGCTTACGAAAAATGGGAGTCCAGACTACGATTTACGGGGAATTTTTAGGCTCGATTACGCTTTACGTGAAATACGCTGGCTACGCTTTACGGGAAATTTTTGCCTCCTCACTACGAATTACGGTAAATAAAGTAACTTCCCTACGAATTACGGGAAATTAAAGAGGCCCGCCTACGCCTTACGGAAAAGAGCATGCAGACCCTCTTATACATGTTCCAACAGAAGGCATTGGAAGATTCCATTGCTGCATGGGGGTATAGACTATTGGCAGCCATTGTGGGATAGATCCATTTTTGGTATGGGGGATGTGGTGAAGCCATCTGCTGCATTTGCTCCCAATCAAATGTCGGCCTTTCTAGTTAAACAATTGTGGATTTCTATGTTTTTAATTTGGTACAGATTTTTATGCATGTTTTTTAAGGAGATTTTTAGTGCTATGGTATTGGTCTATTCTGGCATGTATATACTATAAATGATCTCAGAGTGATATTTTGATGTGATGGCTTGGTCATTATACTGCTAAATTTGAATAAGGATTTTAAAATGATTTTGTTTAATCAGGAGACACTGCGAAGCGTAGACCTGGGGATGGGAAAAGGCCTCGTGATGATGATGATGATGGTCCTGGGAAGGGAGCTGTCGGTAGGTTTTATGTTCATGATATTCAGCTGCTAGAATTGTTTAAAAACATGTATAACAAGAATTCGGAAATCTCATACCTCCATGAAATATATGACAGGAAAAGCTATCTGTCACCAATAAGTCAAGACCATAGCATGTTCAGGACAAAAGATACAAAAACCGGAAGCTCTGCTGCAGTACCAAGGTCATCCAGCAGGTGGCCCATATTTGACCTTGACCTTTGTCTTCCTAAGACGTACCAGCATACCAAATATCATCACAATCCATAAAGGCGTTATGAAGTTATGCTGACTACAAATGTGTGGAAACACAAACACACACTCAGACAGACACACAGACGCACCAAAAACAATACCTCCATTTTTCATGGAGGTAACAAGCTTAAGGCTAGTTAAGGCTAACTTTTTATGTAATATTGCTTAATGAGGTTAATATGATTGATGTTAATTGTGCAAATCTTAATTTCAAAACTAATGACTTTTATTGTATTATTATCATTTATCAGATGGCAAAATTAATGTTAGTAAGACAACTTTTTTTTTCAGTAGGTAATGTAAATAGTAGTTAGACACTGTATTTTACAATCATGTATGTAAGGAAAGTCCAGGAAGAGTAGGCTTCTTTGCCTGCAACCAAAATTTTTAAAAATAACTTTGTTAGCATTTAGCATTTTTAATGTCTTGGGGTGGTGGGACTACGGCACACAGATATGTCAACTTGGTGTATTTAAATGTTAATTGTATTTTGTTGTGTGGCGCTGTTAAAAGTATATTTAATTTAGTTATAAACTCGAGTGCAGCACTACACTGTCCTTGATGTATAATAAAAAAAGAAAAAAAGCCTGAAACTCAAAAAAATAAAGTCAGAAAATTAATAAAACTACATGTAGAAAATGGTAACCCTGACATATTGTTGTGCCGTATCTAGCTGGTGCAGTGATTGGAGTGGTGATTGTCCTGTTGTTGGTGGGTCTGGCGTTCGTCGCCTACCGTTATTTCCGCTTGAGGAAGCGTGCTGCGGAACCAACCGTATCGTAAGTATAATAACCTTATTCTGAGACAGCCGTAGATCTAGAGCTAGGGGACCCGTTTTTACGTTTACTGAAGGAAAACGTTTCGTTGTTTTTGCTCTGATTCCTCCTCCTCTTCTTCTTCTCCAATCCAATAAGGTCAATGACCTGAACCAGACGTCTGTCACCATGGTAACTAGTGTTAGGTTACATCATGTTGCATCCATCATAGATGCAGCATGTCAATGACTTTGTGAACAATATTGATGTTGATATTTGTGTAAATGGTAACGAATGTCAATGTACAATAAGTAGTTCAGCCTGTGGCTGCAAAGTTCTTCAAGTTGTTTTTATGAATAAAATTATTCGATTGATTGATTGATTGATTGATTGATTGATTGATTGATTTTTTTTCCCTGACACTGTAGTTATGATCGGGGAACGACCAGCATTGGCGCAGACAACCCTGTCTTTGACAGCATACCAGGTGCGATGGCTGCACCTGCTATGGCTCCAGGTGTTCAGGTGCACAAGGGCGACCACCTGATGTACATGCAAAACCCGCTTTACGACCAGGTGAACGGGATGGTGGCACCTGAAAAGGAACAGCTGCCTCCAGGTGAGTTGTATATTTAAGCAACTTTTTTACATCTGTTTTTGTCTAAAATTTTGTGTGTAGAAAAACACATTTAAGCTACACAGTTAAGTATTTCAGAGAAGATACAGTAAACTGTTGCTTGATTGAATGTAAGCTTATAATATAAGAGATTTGTACTTTCATAATATGATAGAAGACTCCTACAAAAAAGGTCTAAGTACAGAAAACATTTTATTCTGTGAACTTGAAGGCAATATTGAGTATTTTTGCCAATGTTATAAGGAAAGTACTCACATATGGATACTAGTTATTGTCAACCTTCAACCTGCTAAGGTAACATCTTGTCACCAAATTTGTATCAGTAATGGGGATAGGCCGTAAGAAGAAGTTGAACTGAATGAGAAGTTGCAAAATACTGACTGCAGGTTTGTTGTGCTTGTACAGGTGCAGAAGCGCCCCCTCCCTACGAGGAGAACCCGGGGGAACTGCAGCTGACTGAGGAGGAACTGAGGATCAAGCAGAAGGCTGCAGAGGCAGGTTATCCTGAGTAAACCACCTGTCAATCATAGTAATTAAATCAACTGTCAATCATCCAACATACAGAAGCATCAGCCAATTGGTGGCGTAGCAACAATCATCGATAGTTTTTGTAGCTGTTGTAATATTTGTGCCTTGGGTAAATCAAACAAAATTCAACTGTAAGGCTGCTAAAGGCCACAGCAATTTGATGGGTGGGAACTCAGATTTAAAAAGAGATTCTGCACTAAAAGATTAACATGAAAAGAGAGTCTGAGAGGAAAGTCTTTGTACAAGACTTAGTACTTTTAAAGGCATCCAATGTGGTTCCAGGGCAGCAAAACCGAAAATATTCTGAATAAGGCAATCTTTGTGATATTGACACATAACTGCTTCACATTAGCACATTTAAATCAGCATTTCATACTTTTTCCTTCAATACTGCAGAAACAAGCCCCAAGATGACTCTTTTATTTTCTGGATGGTACCCTAAAAATCAGCCAAGGGCCCTTCCAGTAACCATTTTCTGTCAGAGGTTTTGGTATTTTGCTCCATGAGGGTCAATATACATTGGGATAGTGTGGTTTCAACTCAGTATGTACTAAATAACTAGAATTATTATTATATTGACTTTGAAAAATCTGGTTTCCAAGCCCTAAAAACTGCACTGGATGCCTTTAATGGTCTGAACATAGATACCAGCTCTATATATATGTTTCATGTTGTCCTCTTGTCTCTTAGAACTGGCAAGGACCCCCCCCCCCCAAAAAGGAGATTTTTTAGATGGAGTCAAAGGAAATAGAGTGATTTTATACTGGCTCAATGTTATAGTTACTGTACTACATACATACCTATAAGTCTACCAGAGTCATCTTTCTCTAAGACAGCTGCTCTTCTTCTGGAGTTATAAAATAAAATAAAATAAACTATGCAAGTCATGAATTGAAGAGATTGATTACTGCAGTAAATAAAATAAAATGGTGAACTAGTAATAATTCCTCAATGATATATAAAATATATTTTATGATATTGTACAATTAATGGTGTTATTTTGTACTTTAATTTTTGAGTATGTGTAATTTTTCTTTAATTCTTAGATATTTTGTACAAGTATATTGTAATAGTACACGTCAATACAATTCAGCTTTGTTGTCAATATAGTTTGTCTTTGACGCTGATTGAATGATTATTAATAAGATATGATTATCATAATCTTTTGCATGAAATGCAGTATAATTGCCAGCTACAATATAATATGCTGAGGTCTTCTATGCAACGTTTGAAAAGCAATTTTTGTATATTTGGCAACATACATTTGATATGTATATTTCATATATTTCAAGACTGTATTTTTGTGGTGAAGGTTACAGTGTATGTCCCGCTATTTATTCTATAGGCTATATGTACTAAACTATGTCTTGTATCTTGGTGTAAGACTTAGTGGATGAAAATAAAGCTCTTAAATTTGTACCATTTCGTCTGTCTTTTTCATTTATTCCACCTTTAATTGCTCAATGTATAATAATATATTGTTACAATATATTATTGTATATGTATATATTACCATTTGTTTCTTTCCCCTTAGGCCACACCAATTTAATTTCTTGTTTAACGGATTCGCCTGCTTCATTTTTTTCTGATTTGCAAATAAAAATAAAAATTCAGAATCAACTGCAAAATGCTCATATTTTGCCCTGAACAGTTGAAAACAGTCCTTTTTATCCTAGTTGTTACAGTTATTCCATCTTTCAATGCAGTGGTATCATGAAAAGTTCAAAATTCAATGTTTGAATTTGAACCAGTCTGGTGTGTTGACTTCATGGCTCCTATCGTACCATTTTGGGCCACAATAGGATGCCTAGGCCTGTTTTTATTTTTTTTCGCCCGCCCTCTCCATTATTTTTCTAGAAAAATCCGTTAACCAAGAAATTAGATTGGTGTGGCCTTACACATTTGACAAGTGAATCAATGTACCCACATTAAATATTAAAGCTCACTAGCAAAGAAACTAAAATGTAGAAATAACATGATTGAATATAGCAATATGAAGGCTTCTTGTTAACACACAGAACATAACTCTGAGACTTGCAAATCACAAAATAAATTACTTACAACGTACTCACCATTTACTACTTCAACATAATACCTGTCCAGTATAGCACTAAATGTGACCTACCGGTAAAAAGCATAAGTTATGGTTTACAAATAAATGATTATGATTATACATTTAGGCAATTTGCACTCAGCTACATGTAGTCACCAAAAGGTACCTACAATATCCCAACTGATATTTGTTTGATAATGTATAAAAAGTACTCAAAAGCACACATGTATACAATTTTAAAACTATGTATATATCAAGTAATATATATTAACAACTTATGATAAAATATGAAATCAGATCATCTGTAGATTCATATGATTGCATCATGGCATTACTCAATAAACATAATTTGCACAGGTGTACCCCTGACTTCAATGATGTTCCACAATGCATTTATGAATATAGATTATTCAAGTTTTCCGTAGTTATATGTCTTTGGACACTAAATGTGATCACCTGAGGAACCAACTGAGCTTGTCTCTCTTAGGCCACAGCAAGTAATTTTTATGGATGACATCCGCGCGCACATTAATTAAAAAAAAAAACAAGAAATTTTGTTGCCTTTTGACAGTGGTCACCATGCCGAAAATAGGCCAAGATGTCTGTTGTCATGCCGGAAGGTGGATGGCAGATAACTATAAAGAGAGGAGACAAGACAAGGCTCTGATTTAATGTTTTGTTTCCTACTTTAATGCAGTGATACATGTATGTGATGTTGGCTGTGTATATGTGTTCCTATTGAATCAAAACCATTTGTACAATGATTGAGTCAAAATTTCAAAATGTAAGAACCTTGTTTTTTTGGCCCGCCTTGTTTTTTTTCGCCCGCTCGCATTAGATTTGGAATCTGTGGAGGATGTCATCCATAAAATTTACTTGCTGTGGCCTTATATACATAATCTCAAACATGGGAAATGTGTTGTGAAAGTAATACATTAACATCTTGAGCAATGTGCCACTAGCAGCATACTACATTATGGATACATGTAGCTCCCAGATAATAGGAAGTTTGGTTCACTGTCTCTTGGACACGATAACAATTTCTGAATGTTAAAGGCATCCAATGCAGTTTTTAGGGGTTGGAAACCCGATTTTTCAAAGCCAATATTCTGGTCATTTATCTACATACTAGGGAGTTAAAACCACACTATCCCAATGTATATTGACCCTCATGGAGCAAAAATTCTGACGGAAAATGGTTACTGGAAGGGCCCTGGGCTCATTTTTAGGGTACCACCCAGAAAATAAAGGACTTATCTTGAGGCTTGCTTCTGCAGCCCAAAATATTAAGTGCTGACTCAAAACTGCTAATGTGGGACAGTATGTGTCAATATCATAAAGATTGCCTTATTCAGAATATTTCCAGTTTTGCTGTCCTGAAATCGCATCGGATGCCTTTAACAATGATATGATACCTTCTAAAATGCATTGTGTTGCTCTTTTCATCATGTCGTTGTTTCCCTACTTTTTTTTAATTAAAGATACAAACATGATACATCTAAAATCTACACTACAGTAACTGTTACTGATACTAGAAGTGCCTATCTTCCACTTTCTGATGAGCGCTGAGTAGGCTTCTTTCTTGAAGGCCTCTGTAAAATATAATATTAAACAGTTAAGTTGACAAAACCCTCTACAAATCTATATATTATAGATGTAACAGCTGTGGTCACAGCTAATGATACCCAAATATTAAATCATACTTCATAACCTGTATATAAAATATGTAAATACGAAAGGCTTGCACAAAATCTCTGCCTTTTGTTATGTTAACTGAAGGAAAACATAAATATTATTGTTTTTGCTCAGACACAAAAGGTTAATGACCAGAACCAGACATCTGTCACCATGGTAACTAGTGTTTGGTTACATCATGTTACAATTTCATAGCAGTAAGGATTTAGACTCCTGTCACCATATACATGAATGTATTTGAGAGTGAATTAACAGAGCAGACCATATGTGAAGGTTAACATTACATAAATTTTGATTTGCAAATGGTACCTATCTAGTTATCTTTACTAAAGGAAAACATATTTTGTTTTTGCTCCATTTCTTCCTCTTCTTCTTCTCCAGTGACCTCTGACCTGACCAATGACATGATTTGTTGATGTTGTGTTACATAATGTTGCAATTTCACAGTCTGCCCTGCTCCTGTCACCATATACTATAGTAGTACATATATGTGAATGTGTTTGAGTAAAAATTAACAGAGCAGACCATATGCGAAGGTAAACATTATTAGCATTCGCTTCGAAAATGTTCCCTTTCTACTCTAGTTTACCTTTTTCTTGGCCTTGTTGTCTTCACTCTGTCTGCGGCCGTAGATTCTCTCCGCTTCCTCTCGCTGGTCCTTGCTGATTGGTCGATCGTCAAGCGTCTCCAGCTTGGGCAACCGGCTGATGACATATTGTCTTAAAAAAAAAGGCAATTGATAACCCAAAAATAGTCACTGAGTAAAGATACTCTTTTCTACACAACCAAGTCTTTTATTCTTAGCCGGTGACCAGCGACACCTGTGCTGCAGTGCAATGTGAACCAGTCAGAATTGCCCTGAGCAAGGACATTATACATTCTGTATAACAATAACATGTACTACTAGTACATGGTGACAGGAGCAGGGCAGACCATGAAATTGCAACATTATGTAACACAACATCAACAATGTAACTGACGTACATTCTGTATAATGTCCTTGCCAAGAACAAGGATATTATACATTCTGAATTTACACAGAATGTATGATGTCCTTGCTTGAGCAATTCTGTATAATGTCCTTGCCAAGAGCAAGGATATTATACATTCTGAATTTACACAATGTATGATGTCCTTGCTTGACCAATTCTGTATAATGTCCTAGCCAAGAGCAAGGATATTATACATTCTGAATTTACACAGAATGTATGATGTCCTTGCTTGAGCAATGTGAATAAAACACTTGGTTACTCAAGACAAGAACATTTAAATCACTTTCCCTTGTAAGTTGTAAACCAACTTTGATAAAATGCAAATACTAATTGCTTTGGCCTTACAAACAAGATTGCAATGCACAGCTACTGTAATATAATGCTGCAAAGGGAAATAAAAAAAGCTGCTGCTGCTATAGCACTTAAACATAATATTTTATATACTCAGCAGAGCTAAGGCGGCCCAGGGCATATTCTAGCTACCACTTAGGTCCTGAATAAAACTTGTAATAACTCGACAATACATGTTTCAAAATGGCTCAAATTTGCAGGGGAGATAAATTAGATGAATATCAGTGCGTCTAAATAAATTTGATGTTGTTATGTTAAGTCTATTTGTTTAGATTATGAAAATAATAATGCCATTATTTTTGGTAAAAAATGGAGTTTGCAGAACTATTCCCAAAGTCCAACAGTCACAGTTTTTTGCATACAGCTGCTAACACATACCTTCTAACAGAAACTGGTGAGTTAAATCAAGATTTCCTTTCCTTTGTTTTGAAAAATTGTTTTTTATGAATATCATTGATAGATTTTGAGGGTAGCTCTTTAGAAATTGGCTAATAACAAAATGTAGCAATCATTTAACAAAATATTCATATCGTTTTTGTGTAGAACGGGACATGACGCATCATTTGACATACTTGTTTTCCTTCCTGAAAGGTGGCTATAGTTCTTTAAAATCGTTCAAAGTTTGTACTACAAATTTGTAGCAGGAAAGCCACATTTTGCCCATTTTCTCCCATCAATCACAATTAATCATGTTGACAGCCACATCAATTAGGTGTTTTAGCACCTCCACGAGACACAATTATGAGCCATCCGCATTTGCATAAGGACGTATTGTTATGCGCAGTTCTGTGAGTCAGGGACTGTCACATTGTTGTCTTTACCTTACTTGAAAGGAGGTTGGTTGAAAGAGAGAAGACAAAACGAAACGAAAAAAAGTTGCAAATGCCAAAAGTCTTCATAACAAAGGCTGAAGAACATTTATTACCGTATTTTAGCTAGTTTTGCTCAACAATCTATGGTATATATACATAATTTCCTCTCAGAAAATGGACTGGGAGACTCGTATCACGAGATCCAGTGATTCAAGTAGGCAGATAAAAAAATGGTTTACAAAGTAGCAAAAATTACATGATGTGTTGTGATTGTTTAAATATCACGCACGGGAAGGGCATTTTTTTCTATCAGGCTGCTTCTAACTAGCCTGGGCGCCAGACTGTTTCCAGGGCGTACAATTAGGCCAGCTTCTTGGGTCCCGGACTAACATGCCCCCGAAGAAATTTTACCACAGAGCCTCTCAGTTATAGCCCTGAGCCTGTACTCTGGCTAACTCGGGGCCTAATGCGCTATAGGTCTTGGTATCAAGGTTACTACTTGCTTCTACATGTACCAAGGACATTATACAGAGTGTATAATGTCCTTGCTTCTACCATGGGGTAAAAAAATTACTGTTAATTTTTACCTCCATGCTTCTACCAAGAGGACAGAAACGGTGAACGTAAAATGATTTGGCCTCCGACTTGCTTCATTGTGCCACAAATAGCCTCCTTCAGACTCCTTTGCATGCTGAATAAATAGTAGAAATTGACCGAGAAACGTAGCCTCCTTCGCAGACTTCTGAGGCAGGGCATTATTTCTTGGGGGGTGGCGTGGAGGGACAGCTACGTTTTGCTGCTGAGGGATTTTGCCGGGGAGAGACGATTTCACCGCACCGAGTTGAATTTATTTCAGACTTTTACAGTACAGCCCAAAAACATGAAACCTCTATGCAATCATTCAGGTAAAAATATTTCTTTTTGACCTCCTTGATGCAATCTAGACCTGTGTTGGCTTTTCCTTTGTCTGTGTGCTGGAGGCCACCTTGTAAAAAATCCTGGGGGTCCAACAATTAACTCACCAGGAGAAATTAACGCTTGATACAGATGCAAAAGCAGGCGGGACCGAAGGCGGTGAACAGATACTCAAACTTATGCATATTTACAAGCAAGTCACTCGCACTTGGTTCATTACAATATTAAAGTAGCTAATCATAATATTAAAATGAGGTATATGGCAAGGCAGGCCTGGGCCGCCTTAGCTCTGCTGAGTATGTATAAACAGTTCTTCACAGCCCAAAAGATATCCAGTATCCCAAAGAAAAGGAAAGTAAAGAACAGGAGATATAAAAACTGATTCAGAAACCTACTGCAATACAAAGCAAAGCTGCTAGGAGGCCCACAAATGACCTTCATTTTAGGGATCCTGACAACTAACATATAGAATCATGACAATGCAAACTACATTACATATACACTAGTACATCATATCTTTGTCCTCACAAAAACAAGTCACTGAAAACAACACCTCCATATGCATGATTCACAGAGGTAACGAATGTTAGACTAACTTCCATACCTGTAGTCCAGGTACTGAGGGACTGTTCCACCATTGAAGTAGCTCGGAGCAGCTTCATTGTTCATCATGCTCAGAAACCTACAGCAGAACAAATAACACTTAATGTTATATGACTTTTCTATACTTTTTATAATACATGTAGTCTAATTGTTTTGATACAAAGTACAACCACAAACATCTGAATTTCAGGCTTTCAGCTCAACTATTTTAGTGTTTTCTACTAGCAGTACAGGTTTTGCTACCAGCAAATCGCTCTATTCTGTTTATGTTTTTATATAGCCCATCCTAATTCTAGTGTGAATATAATTCTTAGTATGGCCACAGCAAGTAATTTTTATGGATGACATCAGCACGCGCATTAATTTTTGCCTGATTCTGGAAAAAAACAAGAAATTTTGTTGCCTTCTGACAGTGGTCAACATGCCGAAAACAAATAAACATGTCTGTAGCCATGCCGGAAGGTGGATGGCAGATAACTATGAAGAGAGGATACAAGAAAAGGCTCTGATTTAATGTTTTGTTTCTTACTTTGAAGCAGTGATATGTGATGCTGGCTGTGTAAATGTGATGTTCCTACTGAACCAAAACCATTTGTACAATGATTTCAAGTTGTAAGACCCTTTTTTTTTGCCCGCCTTTTTTTTTCGCCCGCTCGCATTAGATTTGGAATCTGCGGAGGATGTCATCCATAAAATTTACTTGCTGTGGCCTAAAATACCTGAGATTTGGGAAGCATTTTGCGACAGTTTCGATGAAGACAGAGAGGTTGGTGATGTTGTTGTGGTTGACCCACAGAGTGTGCAGACTGGGGAGGGGGGGAAACTTGACGTGTGATGTCAGACCGTTGCTGTCCAGAATCAGTGTGTTCAGTCGCCTGAAGTCCATCAGGGGCATGAGAGACCTGTCAGATTCTTCAGTCAAGGGCTATAAACTTTAGGCCACACCAATTTAATTTGTTGTTTCTCAGTTTTTTTTAGAAAAAATATGAAGCGACAGGTCAAAATAAAAAAAAACAACGGCCAAGGCACCCCGTGATAGCCGGAAATGTTACAATATGAGCCATGAAGTGAACATACCAGGCTGGTTTATAATTAAAACAATAGATTTTGAACTTTTGATGAAACAAAATTGCATTGTTACATTGAAAAACTTTAACAACTAGGAAGAAAAGGACTTTCTTCAACCGTTGGGGCCAAAATATTATTTTCATTGAGCATTTTGCAGTTGATTTAGAAGAAAAAAAAATTTTTTTTTTGCAAATAAAAAAAAATGGACAGGGCGAATCTGAGAAACAACAAATTAAATTGATGTGGCCTTAGAACTAGAAAAATGACAACATTTGTAGTAGATCATATATCTACATGAACTAGAAAGGTAACATTTGCAAAGCAAATGCATAATGTTTACCATTGCATATGGTCTGCTCTGTTAATTCTTACTCAAATACATGCATATATTTGGTCAGACAGGAGTCTAAATCCCTCCTGCTATAAATTTGCAACATCATGTAACCTAACACTAGTTACCATGGTGACAGACGTCTGTTTCAGGTCATTGACCTTATTGGTTCGGAGAAGAGGTCTTCTGAAAATGCAGAAGAAATCGAAAAGACAAATATGGCTGTGCCTAAAGAAAGGATACGAAATCTTGTTGTGGCTCAGGTCCAGTATCTCCAGCGAATCTTGGTGCTTGTGGAAATCCGCGGGAATTTCCGTCAACTCGTTATACGCGAGAGAGATCTGTGAGACAGCGCCATCTCCGAACACCAGGGAAGGAAACATCTTAAAGTCTCTCTTCAAGTCTTTAATTCTCAAGAGTACTCCAAGTCTTGACTGCTTGCTCAAAGTGTCTTGAAAGTTTAAGATTCAGGTACATCAAGTCATCTTCGTCTTGGTCTGAAAAGTACACAACAGTGTTACTTTAACGTTGTAAATTTAAAGTATCTGTATCTGTATAGCCGGTATAACCACCCTTTGACGTAACACACCAGCTTCGCAGGCACGCGGCACGGCGGCAGCTGGCTACATTACACCGATCAACTTGTTACACCTAACCCTTGAACTTCTAACTCTAGACATTGTTTAAAGCTATTAGATCTAATGACAATGCCCCTACTGTACTTGGTGACAGTGAGTTCCACTCTGCGATAGTTCTAGGAAAGAAAGAATTCTTGAACACCTCAATCCTTGGTTGATAACTCTGGTACTTGAAGGCATGGCTATTTCTTGTTCTCTTCTGGGCTGGTAATAGGTACTTAGTAGTATTAAATCTAAGTAATACAAAGGTTTACAAAATATCAACAAGAAGCCATAGGTGACAATCCTCCGTGAAGTTTTATATATTTCAACAAAATCCCAAGCGTCAACGCCAGACCTACTGTGCAGACATTATAATTAGGCAATGGTTAATACAATGAGGGCGCGTCACAAGCATAAAACATAAAAAGAGCTAAATCCATTACTGCTCCCAGGGCGTGTTAAGATACTGTGCTTCAAGTTCGAAGTTCATTTTAATTACACACACACAATCATTGCATTCACATAAAGATCGGACTATCATGGTCGTGTCTAGTAACAAACACAGTCCCACCGTCTTACCGTGCCTGTACCTAATTAAGCGCGCCTGGAACAGGGCAAAATCCAGCAACAGTTGCGGTAAGCACCGCGAGTGTTACTACCGCCGGCCAGATAACCAGGATATCTGCTTACAGTACCTCTGCTACCAGACAACTGCCTAAACCTACGGCCTATTCCACAGGATTGTAAAAGTAGGGATGTTTCTAAAATATGCATTTACTTCAATATCAAAACAGCTACGGTAAAAATAAAAAGACGTGCATCATCCCGGACATAATGCACCACCACATGCGAAATTACACAGAAATGCGACGTACTGAAGAATGCGTTTTGGCTGCGAACATCTTCCAAAAAACTTCGCATCTCTTAACCATGGGCAAAAGCATCTGGAACCACTTATAAAAACCACACCGTATCTGCATGAACTTTTACCCCCCCCACTGCTATTCCAAACAACGCGTTTTTCTGGACCATTCCAATTCGCCTCGTAATTGTAGGGGTGCGTCTGCGATATTACATTGACCGCGAAAGCAGCAACGGCAAAAATACACATTCGTGCATCAACACGGGCATGCCCGCAGACGGCGTATAAAATTGCGTGCCGATTACACAAAGAGAACCCAGTGTTTTGACTGCGAACATGAAAAATCAGCCGATTACAACACTCCGTCCGGAGGTCCTGACCTCCTTCACGGAGTAATAAACTTATGTCACATGATAATCATACTAGGCTTTGTAACGTTGCCAAAGAACAAGCGAATAACACTCTCACGTCATTTGTGGTGTTTCGATCTTTTCCACGAGAATTCTGTGCAATGGCATTGCCTCTCTGAACGCACACAGGTCCCTGGGTTCAAAGATACTTCCTTGTTCGCTGAAGAAACTGGAAAATCGCGAATATCTCCCGTTTTTTAGGCAGACGACAAAATTCTTAGTATCTTCCAGCAGTTTGTAAACAGGGCAAAGGTCACGCCTAAGTCTCGCTCATAACCTTCATCACGTGACTGTGAAATAGAGAAAAAAAAGGTTAAAAACTGGGATTATAGATTATTTAGATCTCGAAATTGTACAAAAAATGAAACCTTAACAGACGCATAGACGTTTGTGCAGTTATTTGCAGCCAATTTTATTTAATTCCTTAAAAAATCTGAAATTTTACCAAGTCTCGTGTTTGGCGAGAGTTTACGTACAGTAAGACGCATCCAAGATGGCGCTTGAAATCGAGTCTGCCGAGTAAGTTCTCCTAAATTTATCATTTTCTGTAGTTTTTATCAAACAATAGATACTTGAATAGCTCAGTCCTGTAGAATATGATATAGTGAACATGTGTATCGAAGATATTCAGGTCTTAGAAGCTCTGATTTACTCACAATCGCCGTGGAAAATAGTGGTTCCTTGGAGACAAAGCTTGGGGAGGGGGGCAGACCAACAAGTGAACGGCGTGCAGCGCCCATGATTGAGAAACGGCTGAGTTTAACTGTTAGTATTGCTATATGTTAAGTTCTAGTGATTATGCAGGGTTCTCCTCAGAAATTCTTAGGGGAGATGCTCCTCAATTGGTTGATGAAAAATCAGCGAATTTTCCTGAAAAATTATATTATACTAAGAGAAAACCCTATTTTGAACATTTTGGGAGAGGTCCTGGAAATTTTAGGGAGAGGGCGAGCAGCACCCTTGCTTCATTGCTTGGGCTCAAAATCAAGAGGTCCCGGGTTCAAACCCCACCTTGTCACCAATCTCTTGTGCCCTTGGGAAAGGCACTTTACATGACATAATACACCCATAATACACATTGTGTCCGCACTGCGCTCGCCGTGTGGCTTCGCTGCATTAGGTCCCCCTATGCTGTGAAAAAATCCTGGTGAGAACCCTGTCTTTCCTCACTCCACTCAGGTGCAAATGAGTACCTAGCTTCGGTTAGGGACCTCCCTCGGATAGGACCTTAAATGGAGGTCCCATGTTTGGGGAGAGACACACCCCACGCACGTTAAAGAACCCACCGCACATATCGAAAAGAGTAGGGGACCTTCCCGTGTGAGTGGTTCAAACCTAATAACAGTCTGGTCACAGGTTTGACATCTTTGAAGAGGTGATAGTCAACTGTTATGTCAATCCTTCCACAAATGCGGTAAATCTTCATAAAGAAATAAATTAAAGTGTGCAGGCTGATACGTCTAACTCCTTTATTTCTGTATGTTCCAGTATTATCCGTCTGATCATGCAGTACCTGAAGGAGAACAGTTTACACCGCACACTGTCGGTACTCCAGGAGGAGACATCGGTGTCCCTCAACACTGTGGACTCCATCGACAGTTTCGTGTCGGACATCAACAACGGACACTGGGACACCGTCCTACAGGCCATCCAGTCCCTCAAACTACCCGATAAAACTCTCATAGATCTCTACGAACAGGTACAATGCTGACTGTTTTATGTTTACCGAAGGAAAACATATTGTTGATGCTCAGTTTCTTCCTCTTCTTCTCCAAACAGTGACCTCTGACCAATGACATGATTTGTTGACGTCTGTCACCATGGTAACTGGTGTTGGGTTGCATGATGTTGCATTTCCATAGTAGGGGGGATTTAGACTCCTGTCAACAAATACATGTATGTGAATGTGTTACCAGGCCTCGAAATTAATTTTTTTACTATTGTCCCAGAATTGTCCCAAACATAGATTTCAATTGTCCCGAACTGAGGATAGACTGTCCCAGCCTGCTTTTCAGTAAATAAGTTTGTATACAGTTTAAGTTTTTTTTAACAATAAGAAAACAACAACTGAATTTGTACAACTTGAAGTCCACTTTATTACTAAATGTCCTCATTTTTCCCAGACTGTAGCATAGGGAAATACATAATAGTATACACAGCAGAATGGATGGATCGCGTACCAAAATGATGTGGACGGTCTCAGAATTTTCCAATTGTCCCGAAATGTAATTTGAATTGTCCCGAGCTGAAGATTTAGTGTCATTTGACACTGGGACAATGTTGATTTCGAGTCCTGATTATGCTTAAAGGTGGCCACACCGACTTAATTTTATGGATGACATCCTCTGAAGACCCGTGCGCGCGGGCGAATAAAAAAAAAACTCCGGCGAAAAATAAAAATGTTACAAAACCACAGAGAACCGGCGAAAATCAATGCGCGTGCGGATTTCATCCATAAAATTAAGTCGGTGTGGCATAATTACTTGATGAATAAAACAAACAATTGTGTTGTTTTCCAGGTAGTACTGGAGCTGATAGAACTGCGAGAGTTGGGCGCGGCGCGGTCGTTACTTCGCCAGACGGACCCCATGATCATGATGAAGCAGCAGCAGGCGGAGCGATACGTTCACCTGGAGAACCTGCTCGCTAGGTCGTACTTCGACCCCAGAGAGGTGGGAACTACTGTCTCACATTAGCAAATTCAAATCAATATTTCATACAAATTATAATAGGCATGTATAACTGCAGAAACAAGCCCCAAGATTAGTCCTTTATTTTCTGGGTGGTACCCTAAAATCAACCCAGGTCCTTCCAGTAACCATTTTTCGTCAGGATTGAATGCCATTATGACAGTGACTAGAATGTTGACTCTGAAAAATCTGGTTTCCAAGCCCTAAAAACTTCACTGGATGCCTTTCAACTAAATTGAAGTTTTTCCTGTTTACTAGTAATTCATTTATTCATTGTTGTTGGTGGTTTGGATTATATATGTGCAAGCTAAAGATGTCTTTTAGAGTCCTTCTTTCACTGAGAAAAATAAGTAAAATATGGTTACAATTGTAGAAGTAATATACCATACTTTGAAAACTCATTCATTATACTTATATTTATAGACACCTAAGAAAAATCGATACTAGTAGTCACAAAGACATGGGTAAACTTTAATCCGTCACTGAGATCAAACATAACCCATAATGTTACAAATGCTCTACAGAAAGCATGACACAGGACACATTGTTGCTAGGCCAGTTGCTTGTTCTTGACACAGCGTGGTGTGTTTTTCGCCAGGCTTATCCTGACGGACAGACCAAGGAGCGCCGGAGAGCGGCGATCGCTCAGGCGCTGGCGGGAGAGGTGAGCGTGGTCCCGCCGTCCCGTCTCCTGGCTCTGATTGGTCAGGCTCTCAAATGGCAGCAGCACCAGGGACTGCTCCCCCCGGGTAAGCAATGGACCGGTCCTAGCTGTCAATCACAATTATCAGATCAACCAATGAGAGAATTGCAAATCAGTAGTTCGACCAATGAGAATTGTCCGTCAGATATTTGCAATTCTACATATTGACAGGGATATGGGATTGCTCTATAGAGTCTATAGGCAAAAGACAGAACGAGTAATGTATGGATTTTCTATCCTGTCTATACCAGGCACCACCATTGATGTGTTCAGAGGTAAGGCAGCTCAGAAGGAAGAGGAGGAAGAGAAATATCCCACACAAGTCACCAAGAACATCAAGGTAACATCTTCTTAACCTGCCATCTGCTAAATAAGGCCTAGAAATAATGTTTTCTTCCTGTTTTTCCATGGAGTTAAAATCCTTGGTTTTTCCAGCACTGTCTTGAAAATAAATTTCAGTTGTCCCGAAGTGAGAATGAACTGTCCTAATAAATAACCTGTTTTTCGGGAAGTATTGTACGACTCCAACTTGAATTCAACTTTATTTTGCTTACGTTCTACGACTCCCAGCTCTATGGTGCACTGTAATTGCAGAGTAGACAGGAAATTTGGGGGGCTTTTCCGAAGCCAAAAGCTAGGACGTGTGCCTGATAAACAAAAGAAGGGCTGACATTCTGATGTTGATGATTTTTCTATTGTCCCCAAAATGTCCCAAAGTGTCTTTTTCGTTGTCCCAGCCTATATTTTAGTTGACAGTGGCCATTGGGACACCGTTAATTTCGATCCCTGCTGCCTTTCCCCATAACCAATATGTGCCAAACTGCTACTTAGTAGGCTTAAGGTTAAACAAACTACTATTCACCAAACCAAAACACCAACTGAATATCCCAGTTTTACCAATATTTTACATGTTTATTTTACAAAAAAAAACTAGAGAAGTAACATTTGCGAAGCAAATGCATAATGTTTACCTTCGGACATGGTCTGCTCTGTTTTATATAAAATTCTTACTCAAACACATTCACATACATGTACTACTACTAGTATATTTTCTGACAGGAGCAGAGCAGACCATGAAATTGCAACATTATGTAACCCAACACCAGTCACCATGGTGACAGACATCAACAAATCATGTCATTGGTCAGGTCATAGGTCACTGGAGAAGAAGAAGAAGAGGAAGAAACTGAGTAAAAACAGTATGTTTAAATATTACATCTGGAGACAAAGTGATTCTGACAATACACCAAATAATTGATATTGACAATTTCGTTGTTTTCCTTCCAGTTTGGTCAGAAGTCCCACGTGGAGTGTGCCAGGTTCTCCCCGGACGGACAGTACCTCATCACAGGCAGTGTGGACGGCTTCATTGAAGTCTGGAACTTCACCACGGGCAAGATCAGGAAAGATCTCAAGTACCAGGCACAGGTCAGAATCCATCCTGCTCTCCTATTGGTTCATGAGTATGATACGCATATTCATGAGGTGTGGAACACCAATCACAATCTTTGTCCTACTCCCCCAACACCAAGTGCAATTCAGATTGTACCCTGTTTTGCAATTGGTTATTGATGAATGTCTCATACATATTTATGAGGTGGTAAGCACCAATCACAGCTGTTGTTCTATGCCTTCTCTGGCTGATGAACCATATTTACTCATTCATGAGGAATGAAGTACCAATCAAAACTCTTCTTCTATCGCTCCACAGGATAACTTCATGATGATGGACGATGCAGTGCTGTGCTTATGTTTTAGTCGAGACAGCGAGATGTTGGCTTCAGGAGGACAGGACGGAAAGATCAAGGTAGAAGAAAAACATTTCCTAGTTTCCTACCATTTGCTCTAAGTTATCAAAGTAAAAAGAGAGTCTTGGTCAACAATTTTCTTAAAGGTTTCAGGTCACAAGAAAGGTTTGAGACAAAGGTAAACAAGAAATCAACAATTTCTTATCTTCAGAATCTTTTGACTTTTTTGTTTTAGTCAAATATGTAGTCTGCTTCTTGCTGATTCTGTGCCTATTCCACTGTGACTTCCTCCTTGTCTGTGGGGAACCATTTTGACCTTCCTGTCAGTCTATGGCTACACAGTTTCCCCCCTCACTTCGTGTGTGACTCTTCTTTATTCAAGTAACTACAGACACACAAGAAAACAAAAAGGTACAAAAAAACATTGAAATGAAAACTTCCTCATACAGAATAAAACAAAAACTAGAAAGGTAACATCTGCGAAGCAAAATGCATAATGTTTTCCTTCGCATATGGTCTGCTCTGTTAATTCTTACTCAAACACATTCAAATATATGGTCAGACAGGAGTATAAATCCCTCCTGCTATAATTTATAGTATAAAATTGCAACATGATGTAAACCAACACTAGTTACCATTGTGACAGACGTCTGGTCCAGGTCATTGACCTTACTGGTTTGGAGAAGAAGAAGAAGAAGAGGAAACAGAGCAAAAACAATATGTTTTCCTTTGGTAAACATAAAAAAGTGCTACAAGAACTTTTTCTTCTGTCCAGGTGTGGAAGATCCAGACAGGACAGTGTCTGCGCAGGTACGAGCGAGCTCACAGCAAAGGTGTGACCTGTGTCAGCTTCAGCAAGGACAGCAGTCAGCTGCTCAGTGCTTCATTTGACCAGACTATCAGGTAGGACAATACTACTACTAACACTGTCAAATCATTGGATTGTATGACATTGTATCATGCATAAAGTGGGTATGTCGGGCATAGTCATGTCAGTACACCAGACAAGCTATTTGGAATATTCATATCGCATGAGCGAACTCATACCTTTTAACCGTTCTTTTATTCGTAATATTTCACTGTTGTGGTGTAGGTAGTAGTATGTACAATTATTGTGGTCTATGTAGTCTTCCTAATGATTCTTTTTTTAACTTGATTATTATTGTGCAATAGTATAAACTTTTGGATTTTTAAAATTCAGGCCACACCAATTTAATTTGTTGGTTCTCGGATTCGCCTCTTCCTTTTTTTCTGATTTGCAAAAAAAAAAAATTGATTCTGGTCCTGAATCAACTGAAAAATGCTCATGTTTTGCCCCCAACAGTTGAGGAAAGTCCTTTTCTTCCTAGTTGTTACAGTTTTCCCATCTATCATTGCAGTGGTTTGATTAAAAGTTCAAAATTCAATGTTTAAATTTTAACCCAGCCTTTAATAGGATGCCTAGACCTGTTTTTATTTTAATTTTTTTTCGCCCTGTCGCTTCATATTTTTTTCTGAAAAAATCCGAGAACCAACAAATTAAATTGGTGTGGCCTCACAATTCAGTAACTTGTACTTAAAGTTTACTGGGAATGATTAATAAATAATTCTTGAGTCTTGAAATAGGTGGAGTGGAAATAGGTAGTGTAGCATAACAGCACAGTGTTAGGCACAGTGTTTGGCCTAGAACGCAGAGGTCCTTGGTTCGAATCCTGTCTTGCCACCGATCTTGTGCCCTTGGACAAAGCACTTTTCACGACTTTCCTCACTCCATCCAGGTGTAAAATGGGTACCTGACTTCAATAGGTGTAAAGTGCCTTACCTAAGAATACAACAATGTGGCCTGCCATGGATTTGAACCCAGAACCTTCAGATTATGAGCCAACAACTTTAAAGGCATCCGATGCGATTTATGGGCAGCAAAACTGGAAATGTTATGAATAAGGCAATCTTTGTGATATTGACACATACTGCTTCACATTAGCACATTTCAATCAGTATTTCATAATTTGGACATTGAAAACTGCAGAAACAAGCCCCAAGATGAGTCCTTTATTTTCTGGGTGGTACCCTAAAAATGAGCCTAGGGCCCTTCCAGTAACCATTTTCCGTCAGAATTTTGGGAATTTTTGCTCCATGAGGGTCCATGTACATTTGGACAGTGTGGTTTCAACTCAGTATGTAGATAAGTGACTAGAATATTGGCTTTGAAAAATCGGGTTTTCAAGCCCTAAAAACTGCACTGGATTCATTGTAACACGTTCTTGCTGACTTTTTTTCAGAATCCATGGGCTGAAGTCTGGGAAGACGCTGAAGGAGTTCAGAGGTCACACGTCGTTTGTAAACGAGGCCGTGTTTACACCAGACGGACATAACCTCATCAGTGCATCGTCAGACGGCACAGTTAAGGTAACATATTAACCAACTAGTTATCAAAATTAACTAAACTAGTTATCAAAACTAAACTAGTTATCAACTAAACCATATTATCCAACTAGTTATCAAAATTAACTTAACTAGTTATCAAAACTAAACTAGTTATCAACTAAACCATATTATCAAACTAGTTATCAAAATTAACTTAACTAGTTATCAAAACTAAACTAGTTATCAACTAAACCATATTCAACTAGTTATCAAAATTAACTAAACTAGTTATCAAAACTAAACTAGTTATCAACTTAACCATATTATCCAACTAGTTATCAAAATTGAATTAACTAGTTATCAAAACTAGTTATCAACTAAAACATATTAACCAACTAGTTATCAAAAGTTACTTAACTAGTTATCAAAACTAAACTAGTTATCAACTAAAAGATATTAAACAACTAGTTATTAAAACTAAACTAGTTATTATCTAAAACATAATTATTAACCAACTAGTTATCAAAATTAACTAAACTAGTTTTTAAAACTAAACTAGTTATCAGCTAGTTATCAAAATTAACTAGTTAACTGAAAGTAAATGCTGCTTGTTTGAGTTTGTTTTTGCTTGTGATTGCAGCTGTGGAATATCAAGACCACAGAGTGCATTGGCACCTTCAAGTCACTAGGGGGCACTGCTGGGGCAGACATCACAGTGAACAGTGTCCACACCTTACCCAAGAACCAGGAGCACTTTGTCGTGTGTAACCGTTCCAACACTGTCTCCATCATGAACATGCAAGGACAGGTAAGCATTTAGCTTCTTATTGAGTATTGTTTGGCCCCCTAGCAGCAGTTTTGGAACTGCAGGGGCCTGTTTTGTTAGTGAACAGTGTCCAGACTTTACCCAAAAACCAGGGACACTTTGTCGTGTGTAACCGCTCCAACACTGTCTCCATCATGAACATGCAGGGGCAGGTAAGCATCTAACAAGTGTATACTGATTAGGCCTCCTAGCAGCTATTTAGGAACTGCAGGGGCCTGGTCAGAATTGCCCTGAGGAAGGGTGACAGATGGTCACCGAAATGCTGGCTGAATATAAAAGATTTGGTGTGTAAAAAAGAGTCTCTTTACTCAACTTGCGTCTCTTATTTCTGTTTCAGATTGTGCGTAGCTTCACGTCCGGTAAGAGGGAAGGTGGAGACTTTGTGTGCTGTACGGTGTCACCGCGGGGAGAGTGGATCTACACGGTCGGAGAGGACATGGTGCTGTACTGTTTCAGTACGACTACGGGCAAACTGGAGTTCACGCTCACGGTAAGTCATCGCAATCAGTTATAGAGCATGGTCATATAGACCCCTAGCTAGTGTTACTGAAAAATCAGAGAAAGTAGAGAAGTAGACTTGGTGCTGTACTGCTTCAGTACAACTACGGGCAAACTGGAGTTCACGCTCACGGTAAGTCATCGCGATCAGTTATAGAGCATGGTTAGTGCTGTGTACCAGTTTGCTGGACCGGTTCCAGACTTGTAAAAATGTTTAGGTTCAAGTAAAAAAAAACATAAAAGCCAAGAACTGATTCCGAACTTACTACAAAAAAAACATGTCATATACGCCTTTTCTTTCCAAACCATCTAAAACCTTCCATGTATTGCAAAATCTGTGTTGGAAAATGAAGAACACAATTTGCCATAGGCATCGTTGAGTGTTGGCCTCCATGTTATGTGGCCACAGTTTTGCCCAGACAACATTGCAAGGTTGCAAACATGGAATTTTGTATATGCCATGGGTTTAGGTCCGGACTTACGGACCTAAACCTCTGGACTTGAATCCAGACCTGAACCTAAATGTGGGTTTAGGTACACAGCACTAAGCATGGTCATATAGACCCCTAGCTAGTGTTACTGAAAGATCAGAGAAAGTAGAGAAGTAGACATGGTGCTGTACTGCTTCAGCATGACTACCAAACTGGAGTTTACTCTCATGGTAACTAACTAATGGAGACTGTACTATGATGAGTAAAGAGACTCTTTTTACACAACCAAGTCTTTTATTCAGCCGACGTTTCGGTGACCGTCTGTCACCTTCCTCAGGCCTAGGGCAATTCTGACTGGTTCACATTGCATCTATAGCAGCGACATCTGTGCTGCAATGCAATGTGAACCAGTAAAAATTGCCCTGAGGAAAGTGACAGATGGTCACCGAAATGCTCCAATTTCATTGCATTGTTTTGTCCAGTGGAAAAGTTTATATTCTCTAAGCTTAATAATGTTCCACTTCTGTGTATCTGTACAGGTCCATGAGAAGGATGTGATTGGCATCTGTCACCATCCCCACCAGAATCTGATCGGCACTTACAGCGAGGATGGTCTGCTGAAACTGTGGAAACCTTAAAACACAGATTAACTACTCAACTGTAGAACAAGGCAGGGCTCGAAATTCATATTTGGGAATAGGTGCACTAGTGCACCCAACCTGAAAAATTGAGTGCACAAAAAAATTGTCGGTGCACTCACTATATAAATAAAACAAGAAGAATGTCAGCAAAAACTAATGTTTCATTTCTAAAGAAAAGTACTATAGATGTTAAGAATATCCTGTATACTACTATAGTACATTTAACATCTTGACATACACGTACGTAAACCTTAGAACATATTTGGGTGCACTGGTGCGCCCACAGAAAAAACTTAGGTGCACAGCTCCAATTTTTGGTGAACTAAAATGCACATGCACACAGTATTTCGAGCCCTGCAAGGTTAAAAAGCAAGTTTTAACTGTAAATTATAGTTTCCAACACTAGAAACTGCCCTTTCTTGTGTTGAAAATTAAGAGTTTAAACTTGCTTCATAATGACACAGATGAACTTGCAAGATAAGTTCTCGGAGCACTGACAACTGTCGCAACATTACAATGGTATGTAATGGAGCAAAATGCATGTAAGTTTATAATACATGTACCAGTACTTGAGGATAGTACAATTTTGGGATATTCTAAGGGGCAATTTAACTCGAAGTAAAGAATAAATATGGTAAATATCAATGAAAACTGCACTTGATTTCTACAAAAACGCCCACACCAAGAGTCTTGTTACTGCGAGCTCACTAGTATGTAAATGTATGCAGAATACTTGGAGGACTTAGTACATGTACTAGTACATTGTGTATTCTTTGTGATCTTTTTTTGGATCATGGACCAATTTTTTGACTCTGTTACACTTGTATTTACTAGTTTTAGAATGTGTTTCTTAAACGTACATGTATAAATAATAGATGAAAGTTGCTACAATCACTGATTTTGTCTTTCTTTTGTGTTTTCTTGGCATTTTCCATGCATGCATGGTGTCCTCATTGACATCGACATGGAACTGCATTCATCAAATCATCATTTGATGATGAACAAACATCATCAAATAGAAAGATGAAATTGTGAATAAAATCTGTGTTTTTCTAGAAAAAAAAATTGTCAGACACGGAGCTAATTTGCAGACAGATGTCAAACTGTTGTTGGTGGCTGCGGATTCTAAACCAAGATCTTTTTTTGGGGGGGGGTCGTGTTGTTTACTATCCTGATCATTATAAACTGTTTAAAACCTAAGCTTAAGAGTGGATAGTTAGCGCATTAGATATGCTTCATTCACATACATGTAGTAGGACCGGTCGACCAGGTTCGATACATATCTAGGCATATCAAAAGGCCCTTTATTCGGCTGGATCCGGACAATTCTATCCTAGTGGGAAAGAGTCCGGCGCAACGGAACATCGGGGCATTTCAAATACAATGTATGGGCATAAATTGTATGCAAGACCATCCAGAGGTAAACATATTGCATTTGCTTGCAAATGTTACCTTTCTAGTTTACATTAAATTTCGCAAGACTAAAGTTGTCTACTAAATAGGTGATGGACATTTCGATTGGTCCTAGGAGATCAGGCGATATCTTGACACGCCCACGGAGAACAAAAAGATTGTATCAGATAACAAAGAATAGACAACTTTTGACATTTAATTTAGCATAATTACAGGTGTTGCACAGGTATATCTAGTCCTGTTCCCATCGGCATTTCTTCAGTCCACCATCTGCAGGCCTGAGAAGAAGATATCTGCATTCTGAGATCGTCCAAAAACTCAGTAAGTAACAACACATGAGTCCAACTTTGGCGTTTTTATGTTATATGTAACGTTAACAGTGTGGGGTTTACTTTTAGCCGAGTGGTTAGAGTTTCGGAGTCTGAAGCTGGTGCTCGGGAGGTCGTGGGTTCGAACCCCGGCCCGGGACCAGGAGTTTTTATCTGTTTCTACTCGCTCCTCCTGTTTCTTACTGTGGTTCCCACACCGGCCCTGGGAGTTCTGGCAAAGAGTGCCGCTCCAGGGATGCCGAATTCGGAAGATTCGAGGACAAATCTTGAAAAGAAAAGGGGCAGTAGTGTAACAGTGGAGGGTTTAAGGCACTACTAACTGACCCGGCCGATGGGTCTAGACCTTTTATCTGTTTCTACTCGCTCCTCCTACATATATACCAGTATATTGTTCAACTGATCAGACCCATATTTGTCTTTCAAAGTTACATACTTTTCTTTTCTACATGATCCAAATGTACGACACGATCGTAACCGTTTTTTTCTCTTCTTTTCGTGTAGCTGAAACGGCACCATGAAGGTTTCTACTTGCGCGCTGCTTGTTGTGGTACTGCTGGTTGTGGCGACTGAGGGGCAAGAGATCGGGGACTATGTAGGCTGCTATGTGAAGAATTACGGAGATGTTGTCTTCCCGTACACTTTGATCGACCGAGGCATGAGCAATGCCATGTGTGCTCAGCACTGCAGCATCAAGGGCTACACTTACTCAGGTAAAAATTGCACCCTACATATTTACCTTCCCCATTGACATGTGAACATATCTGAAAAAGCGGAAGGATTTTTGGTTGACAGAAGAGGGGGCAGACAGAGTGCAGAGACAGTAGGACATGGTATATTTAATGGACATGGTACAGTGACCAAATAGGGCAAGAACGCTATATATATACATTTTAAGATGCTACCAAATGTTACATTTTGGGAGGGGGGACAAGGCCCCTGGCTCTTCTTCTTCTCCAAACAGTGACCTCTGACCTGACTGAACCAGACTGTCTCTCACCATGGTAACTGGAGTTGGGTTACATCATGTTGCAATTTTATAGTAGGAGGGATTTCGACTCCTGTCATCATATAATGTGTTTGAGTAAGAATTAACAGAGCAGACTATATATGCGAAGGTAAACATTATGCTTTGCAAATGTTACTAATTTCTAGTTTTAAAACAGCATTTCTATTGTTTTTTTCTTTCTTAGCGACCAAAAGTGTTCGATGCGGTTGTGGTACTGAGGAACACCTGGTAGAAATGATGAAAGCAGAAGAATCAGACTGCACCAACAACTGTAAGTCTGGCGGCGGTATCTGTGGAGGGTACGCAAGGCTGTCAGTCTACAAAACCAAAAAAGGTAAGGACTTCTCGAAATTTAAACGTTACTCTCCAAGCAGAGGCTTGGGTTTTGGCTTATTTTTAGCATGCTTCTATGCCTTTTTATCGGGCTTTCTTTTTTGTACTGGTGTATTTTTGTGCATAAAATAAAGCCCGGTAAAAAAAATAAGCCAAAATCTGAACCTCTGCTTGGAGAATACCGAAACGTCACAGTAGAAGTCGTCACAGTTTTTACCCTGGGTGCCAAACTAGTATCGGGCCGTTAGCCGTTTTCCTTCGGCAGCCAAGAACCCTTCGCCCGCCTACTAGTTGAGCCCGAGGGGTTTGTCCGGCCCTATTACTAGTAATAGTCCCTCGGGCTCAACCCCGTAGCGGTAATTTAGACTAGGCGGGCGAAGGGTTCTTGGCTGCCGAAGGCAAACGGCTAACGGCCCGATACCAATTTGGCTTCCAGGGTACACAGTTTTATGCATTGAACTATCTTTCGACTCGGTAACTAAAACGACAGCACAGTTCGCACACTTTTCACATTAGTTATAAATTGTGCTGTAACTAGACGTTTGACCTACATGTACCCTGGTAACTATATGTAAGATGTACTAGTATTTACGCTTGATGTTTAGTAATTAGGATGTTAATTTTCATTCCATTTCCTTTCCTTTCTTTCTTTTGGTACTATAACCCGTTGCCGCCATACACTGTACCATGTGCAATTACATATGTGCAATGAAGTTTTCTTCTATGTAAGATGGCAAAACTTGACCACCTTTCCCTTTGCCTTAGATAAGCGAGAGTTGAGCGAGCTCTTGGGCGACCTGACCAGCACCCTGGAGAAACTGGACAGTGCCTACAAGCGTGAGATGTTCGGGACGGAAGATTTTGAAGAGGAAATGAGAGAGATGGAAGAAATGGAAGCCGCCGATATGGCTGAAAATGAAGAGTACTAGTATCTTCAGCCATGTGAAACTTGTTACTAGGGCCACACCAATTTAATTTCTTGGTTAACAGATCCGCCCGCTTCATTTTTTTCTGATGTGCAAATAAAAATTAAAAATTCAGAATCAACTGCAAAATGCTCATATTTTGTCCTGAACAGTTGAAAACAGTCATTTTCTTACTACTTGTTACAGTCATTCCATCTTTCAATGCAGTGGTATCATTAAAAGTTCTAAAATCAATGTTTAAATTTTGAACCAGCCTGGTGTGTTGACTTCATGGCTCCTATCGTACCATTTTGGGCCATAATAGGATGCCTAGGCCTGTTTTTATTTTTTTTTCGCTCGCCCGCTCCATTATTTTTCTTGAAAAATCCGTTAACCAAGAAATTAAATTGGTGTGGCCTAAACACACCTTAAATTTACCTTAGCTGCATGCTAAGACATGTTTTCTTTAACTTTTTGTAACACAGAAGGGATTGAGTTGTCTTATGCCCCTGGGGCTTATAGGTACTAACAAAAGGGCTCACATAAAATTGCATTTTTTCAACTTCTAGGGTTTATACATGGGTTGAGTATACTACTGGTATGTTTGGGAAATAAAGAATGTTACAGGTAGAGTTTGCACGTTTTTAACATCATGTTATTATGAATTTTACACAGAGTTAAAGATCTATTTGTGGCAAGATGAAGAATAGTATGCCTAAGCTGACTTCTTACCACCTTTTGTATAAGTACAGTACGTTACTTTGTTGTTTTATTTCTTTGATACACAGCTAGTTTCCATAGTGTCAGACTTTACAAAAATCCATACCTGCTTGATGTTTTTGTAACATTTTCATTTGTGGAAGGTACAATTAAACTGGAGATTGGTTCAGACACAAGAGTTGTCAATTTCAATTTATTTATTTAACCAGTAATTACAGCTCATGCCATTTTGGCCTGCTTTTCAGGTAATCCTGGATACAAATAAAAATACACACAACAAATACACAGTACATAAACAATTACTAAATACAACATCCTAAACATCAACTGGTCATGATCTTAAGTTCTTGATCTGAAAGTTATGTCAGCAGCTGTTGATTGGGCAGTGAGTAGTAATCTCTAAGCAGATTTTTTGGTGGTCGCAAAAGACAGACCGTATATTGTCTGGCCAATGGATAATATCTGGCTGATGGATCGATAATGCCTGGCCAATTTGATATCTTGATACTGTGTTTTGCAGCCACTGAAAGCAGATAGAATGCCTACCAAAAAAAAAACAGAATCACTACTTACCCAGAACCCTAATTATTCTGAGCCTGAGGTTGAAAACACTACATTTTCCCTGCATTAATTAGCTGCATGTTTTCTTTACAATTTTCACAGGAGGCAGTTACTTATCTTAGGGCCCCAGGGCATACATTAACTCATAATGGGGCTTCTAGGGTTTAGTCATGCGTTTGATCTGACCTAGTTGTATTTTAGGGAAACAAAGAATAAAATACAGAAAACAGGGACTGTGTTCAACTTGTTTTTTTTAAAGGCCACACCAAGTAAATTTTATGGATGACGTCCTTTGGAGACCCTATATCTAATGCGAGAGGGCGAGAAAAAAACAAGAAGGGCCCTAAAAAACAAGATGCCTAGATTAGAAATATACTAAGTGACGACAAATGTTAGGACACAAATTGAATGAGGTGACACAGATTAACTAGCAAGAAGTCTTTTATTCATCATCAAAACAGCAATAAATCAGGTGAAACGGCAGTTGTCGTCCTGTCCTGTTTCTTTCACATTTTTGCAGGCCTGCAGAAACAAAGCATGTGCTCTTTACCCATTTCGCGTTACGGGTTTCACCTCAATCTAACGATTTGCGGCACTGTCGTGACTCTTTGGTCATAGTTACAGGAAGCGGAATTTCTTGTTTTTTTTTTCTAGGAACAGGCCAAAATCAATGCGCGCGAGGACGTCATCCATAAAATTTACTTGGTGTGGCCAAATCCCATATCCCTTAATCAATTACAGAGTCTCAACCGTGCTTTATTCGTTCACACTCTTCTCACAGAGTTATTTCTTTGCAGCCTCCATAGCATGCCAAAACCAGGGGGTTTTGTGGGTCTTTGGGAGCCTTTATGTGCTATTTTCTGATTGCATATTAGACAACATAGCCGGCCTGGTTGAATTACCCCCGTTTTTAGAACTGGGCTAATCAGAAAGCTACCGGTAGTCATTATATGGGAATGCGCCCCAGGCTAGGCTTTTTTCAAAATGGTTTGTTTGTGAGAACCGCTCAATCTTAAAGATCAGCAACACCTAGAAAAACACAATGCAACATGTAATTATAGACTACCACTGGACTACTGATCAATTAGCAGGACCAATTATTGCTCATCTACATAAGTTCAGTTTGAAAGAGTTTTAATTCAAACTTTATTCGCAGGAAGGCACAACCGTACCCAAATTTGTGCCCAAGGGCTAATTGCAGGAACAGAGGAAACATTTGGTATAAAAACAGACAACTAGTACACATAGAACTACTGATAACTACTAACAAGGAGGTTTTACCTCCTTGGTTTGACTTCTTTTTTGAAGACAGAGGAAGAAAAAGGATCCCACTTTTTCTGTAATTTGTGGGTTTTCGGATGTTAAGAGAAGAGTAGTTTTCATTTGTATATGTGTGAAAGTTTGGGTAGAATTTGGAGGTTATGTCAAAGAGATCATTTCATTCATTGCTATAGAGGGTACAATTTGAGATAAAATGCGTTTCGTCTTCCACCGTATTCAACGTACAATGTTTGCAAAATTCCTATGAATATGTTTAGTCATGCGTTCGATCTGAGACATAGTTGTATTCAAGGGAAACAAACAATAGAATACAGAGTATTTTTTAAAAATCCTGTACACTTTTATCAATTGCAGAGTCTCAACAGTGCTTTATTCATTCACAATCTTCTCACAGAGACAGTGTGCAAAATACTTTCTTGGACCAGGTTGCCCATGCAGTGGGCTACATACGGCAAAAATTAGGTTGCCCATCAGAATTTTAGGTTGCCCCACCTATAAGTTACTACTTTTCTTCAAATTAAGTAATGTTACATACATAAGCCTTTGACAATATTTCTAACAGCCTTTAGACAACTGATACTAGTAATAGCCATACCTAAAATTAAAAAGCATCTGCCGGATACAGCAGTGCAAGCCAAGTGGGCATGATTTGGGGGGGGGGATTCTTGAAATTCAGGAAGCACACTGGGCTACCTAGGTTCAAAAATAGGTTGCTCCATGTAAAATTTGGTTGCAACAGGGCAACCAGGTATCTTGCACACTGAGAGTTATTTCTTTACATGTTGGAGTCGCATATGTCTCTGTAAATTCTTCTTACTCCAACTACCATAACTACACTGTTTACACGTGTGGGGCTTCTCCAGATTGCATATGTGAACGTTCATGTGTTTTTCTAGGGAGTGCTTGTAGTTTGTCCTGAACCCACACTCCCCACACATGTAGGGTTTCTCACTAACATGCTGGCTCATGTGCGTGTTCAAGTTGTGCTTCCGAACGGTGGAGTAGTCGCATATTCCACACTTGTACTGTTTTTCGCCCGTGTGTTGGTGAGATGTGTGCAGCTCTAAATCTCTTTTACTAACTGCTGAGTACTCGCAGTGATTGCACTTGTAAGGTTTTTCTCTAGTGTGTACGAACATGTGCTTCTTCAAGGCACTGCGAAATGCAGCCAAGTGGCCACAGATTTTGCACTTGAAGGCTTTATCGAACACATGCTGTACGGTGTGTGCATCAAGGTCCTTTTTCTCGACTGTGGTGAAGTCACAGTGTTGGCACTGAAAAGGCTTGGCTGTGTCGGCTGGTTGTGGTGTAGGTCTGTCCATCTTACTGTAAAGAGAGTTGTAAGAACATCAGGTTATATTCATCAAACTACAATGTAAGGCCACAGCAAGTAATTTTTATGGATCAGGGCACGCATTGATTTTCGCCCGATTTTGGGAAAAAAAAATTGTTGCCTTCTGACAGTGGTCAACATGCCGAAAATGGGCAAAGATGTCTGTTGCCATGCCGGAAGGTGGATGGAAGATAACTATAAAGAGAGGAGACAAGAAAAGGCTCTTATTTAATGTTTTGTTTGTTTACTTTGATGCAGTGATATGTGATGTTGGCTGTGTATATGTGATGTTCCTACTGAATCAAAACCATTTGTACAATGATTGAGTCAAAATTTGAAAATGTATATAGGAACCTTGTTTTTTTTTGCCCACTCGCTTTAGATTTGGAGTCTGCGGAAAATGTCATCCATAAAATTTACTTGCTGTGGCCTAATTCACCCAACAACAGTTACATTCTACATGCAAGACAGCTGCCACAATGGCCAATACTCATCTAAAGAGCACAGAATGTACTTTGCATAGCACTTTGTGGCAGGATGTCTCGTGTAAGGTCATATTTGTGTGTTAAAGGATGATATCTCGTCTATTGTTCACAAATGTTGTGTCAGAAAAGATATTGTCTGCATTTGGAATGGGACATGGGACTGACATGTGTGTTTTTATGTTAAAGCAAATTATCGAGTACTACAGGGGCTTAGGGTCCCCTGTCTTTGTGTGCTTTATGGATGCCTCTAAGGCCTTTGATCGCGTAAACCATTGGACACTGTTTAGAAAGTTGATCGACAGAAATGTTCCGCTATATCTAGTTCGATTCTTGGTTTCCTGGTATACGAATCAAAGAATGTTTGTGAGATGGGGTACAGTCCTTTCACCGAGCTTCTCCGTTACTAACGGAGTACGACAGGGTAGTTTACTGTCCCCATATCTTTTTAATGTATACATAGATGATTTGAGTGTAAGCTTAAACAATGCCAAGGTGGGCTGTTATGTAGGTGGGTCCATCACCAACCACCTGTTTTATGCCGACGACTTATGTCTGATTTGCCCTAGCATTAAATCTCTACAGAGATTGGTTGGGATTTGTGAAGTGGTTGGCCATGGTAATGACATATTGTTTAATACTAATAAGACTTTCTGTATGTATTTCCCATGTACTCGTTTGCCACTTCAGCTTCCATTGCCACCTGTAAGTCTATACGGTACCAACCTGAAGTACGTAAACTCATTTGTCTATTTGGGTATACATCTAAACACCACATTAAGTGACGATGATTGTGTACTTGCTATGCTGAAGAGTCTGTATAGTCGTGCAAACAGTATCAACCGCAAATTTTTCTGTAATGCTCTCCATCTGTTAAGAGACACCTGTTTATGACGTATTGCGCCCAGCTATATGGCGCTCAGCTATGGAGCTCTGTAAGCTCTGGTGTTTTGTATAAGTGCAGAGTGGCTTATAACAATTGTTTTAGAATCATAATGAATCTGCCTCGGCGTTGCAGCGCGAGTGAAATGTTTGTCTGTAACTATATTGACACTTTTGAAACCAGGAGGAGGAGAATTTGTTATTCTTTTCTAAAAAGGTTATTTTCCTCCAATAACGCAACAATCTGTCGCTTAATTCATTCCGATGCCTTCTACAGGAATTCATTCTTTCGGAAGACCTACCATTTGTTATGCTTTTAGGTTTCTTCCTTTTTTACTTGTATGTCTGTAGTGTTTTTGTATTATTTTAATGATGTATTGTACATGTTATATGGGTTTTTTACCTGAAATAAAGAATGAATAAAGAATGAATTTGGGAAAAAATTCTGATGCAAATATGGGCTTTACACAGGAACTGTATGTTATGATGACTTGCTACTCTACAGCTTCTTTGCTTTTGGATGTGGACGCCAGATAAACTTGAATTTGTAAAACTTAAGGCACTTACATTGCTAGAACAGAGATTTTGGGTCCAACTGGAAACAAAACGCAGTCTGAGTTAGTGTCCATGGGCTGTGGTTCAAGTGTTATGATTGGTTCATTCTTTGTTTGAAGTATTCTGATTGGCTCAGACTGTTGATCCAGACTGTTGATTGGCCCAGGCAGTGGTTCAGGTTTGCAGATTGTTTCAGTCTGTGGTTTGAGCTTGCTGATTGGTCCAGCTTGTGGTTCAGGTGTTTTGATTGGCTCAGACTGTTGAACAATGATGCTGATTGGTCCAGTCTGCGACTCAGGTGTTCTGATTGGGTCAGACTTTTGATCGAGATAGCTGATTGGTCCAGTCTGTGGTTCAGGTGTAGTACTGATTGGTCTGGCCTGTGGTTTAAGTCTTTTGATGACTGGTCCAGTGCGTATTTCAAGCCTGCTGATTGGTCCAGACTGTGCTGTCAGCATGCTGCTTGGCCGAGTCTGTGTTTCAGGCATGCTGATTGGTCCAGTGACTCCAGTCTGTGTTTCAGGTCTGCTTATTGGTCCAATCATTGTTTCAGGTGTGCTGATTGGTCCAGTCTGTGCTTCAGGTGTGCTGATTGGTCCAGTCCGTGCTTCAGGTGTGCTGATTGGTCCAGTCCGTGCTTCAGGTGTGCTGATTGGTCCAGACTGTGTTTCGGGTGTGCTGATTGGTCCAGGCTGTAATTCATATGTGCTGCAAGGCTCAGAGAGTTGAGGATCCATGGGCTGGTCTGTCTCTTGCATGAGCTGAAAGAACAAATAAATGACTTAATGATGATGGGGGAATATGATTTGTGATAAATAAATAAATGAAGGAAATGAGCCCTGCAAGTCCAGCCCCACTTGTGGGGGCCCGCAAGCCCTTTTCCGTAGTCGAGCGTAATTAGCCGTTTTAATTCAACGTAGAGCGTAGACGGACCACTCTAATATTTTTGCGTAGAGCATATTCGGCGCTTTAATTCTACGTAATGCATTGTAGCCATTTGGAATTTATATTGTAGCCACTTGTAAAGCGTAATCGAGAGGTTTCCGAATTCAGCGTAGAGCGTTGTCGAGACCCCCCCTTGCAGGCCCTCACTTCTCTGTTTCTAATCAAGCTAAGAGTGGCTTAAGGAGAGACCACATGTGGTCGGATGAAAACACATTTTATTTTGACCAGAACATTATGATGCCTTAATACAATTTCTACAGAAGCACTATGCTATGCTCTAGCCTTGCATTTCGGGAAGATATATCATTAAAAGCTTGGAGACCATCATCATTTGGAGACCATAGTGTAATAAAATGTCATTGATAAATTTTGCTGCCAAAAAACGAAACTAAGCATCATAATTTTGTATAAACACTGTTATTTGTAAACATGTTTGTTTACCTGTTTTCCAGTCAGCTTTTCACTTTGGCGATCCGGTGTCTTCCCTGAGTTCTTCTCTCCAAATATGGTGGGTACGGCATCCTCCAAAAGCACTTTAGGGGGGACTTTGTACGCTACAAGTTTTGTCCTGGGGTTGTCGACACAGCAACTCGACGAGAAGTGTTCAGAACAAACCTTAGGGAATAGAGAAAGAAGCAAGGTCAGAAGACATTGTCACACTAGCTGGAATGAGAGGAGATCTAGAAGCAGAATTGTGAACAGCATGATCTGCATCTGTATCTGTAAATAGCCGGTATAATAGCCGGTATAATCACCCTTCGGCATATTAAACACACCAGCTTCTGTATCTGTATAGCCGGTATAACCGCCCTTTGGCGTAACACACCATCTTCTGTATCTGTATAGCCGGCATAACCGCCTTTCGGCGTAATACACCAGCTTTGCAGGCATGCGGCACGGCGGCAGCTAGCTATATCACACCGAACAACTTGTTACTAACACCCACCCCTTGAACATCTAACTCTAAACATTCTTTAAAGCTATCTAATAATAATGTCCCTACTGTACTTGGTGACAGTGAGTTCCACTCTACGATAGTTCTAGGAAAGAATGAATTCTTGAACACCTTAATTCTTGGTTGGTAACTCTGGTACTTAAAGGCATGGCTATTTCTTGTTCTCTTCTGGGCTGGTTTGATGGTGGACATGGTGGGCATGATGCGTACAGAGCAGAGCAGTCTCAAATTAGAGGCTACAGCAAGGTTTGAGAAGGAGGACTAAAATTATAAACATTTCCAAAACTAACATGTGCAAAGCACCAGAGCAGTCCGTATACAAAGCACCAAGCAGAGAGGGGCGCCAAGAGTCCACGTCTAGCGGAAAAAAATCACAAACAAGACAACAAAAACAACAACAAACCTGGGGCCGGGTAGGCTGGTTGTTGAACAGACGGATCCTTTCTACAGTCCACGGCGCACGGAGGTAAGGTTCAACCGCTGTTAACCATTTCTGTAGTCTGCCTTCATCCTGTGGAAACTTGTGGTAGCTTATTCCTTGTCCCTTCGTCTTTGAGTTGTAGTTTTTGCAGACAACACAGGACGGCATGACGGCGACAGCTCGACCTAACTGCCCCCCTCCCCACTTCCGGGATTTGACTCGAAGCACGAAGAGACTTGGCGAAACACTTTTATCTGATGCGCTAGGGTTAAATATCGCTATTGACACCCGTTGAACGCAAAGTAGGAGAGACTAGAGCGCGTATATGCCCTAAAAAACACAGCGAAGGCAAATTCGTATAATGCACCAAGATGGCTGACTTTGTAACAGTGACGTCAGAAGTACCCGGATGTAAAAAGAGCCCACACAACAACATTTGGTCGGTCGAGATAAAATGTGGAGTACGTAACGTAATAAAAAAAGAGAATTCGAAAATCTACACTAGTAGATAACATACAGTGTACATAGAAACGTATGGGGTGTCATATTTAATAACATCTTTGAACAATATTGAATTGGTATCACAATGGTGTTCCCACCTGCCTTTTCGGTGTTCACTCACACACACACACACACACACACACACACACACACACACACACACACACACACACACACACACACACACACACACACACACACACACACACACACACACACAAATGCATGCCTGTCCTTGGTGCTGAAAGCTATCACCATACACACACAAATACATGCCTGTCCTTGGTGCTGAAAGCTATCACCACACACACACAAATACATGCCTGTCCTTGGTGCTGAAAGCTATCACCACACACACACAAATACATATGCCTGTCCTTGGTGCTGAAAGCTATCATCACACACACACACACACACACACACACACACACACACACACACACACACACACACACACACATCACCACACTCCATATATGGCAAGCACCTCCATTTATGGTAAAGGGGAGACCGGAAAACTGGGACCCTACGTTGTCTGTGACACCTGCATTCCATACATGGTAAAGGGGAGACCGGGAAACGGGGACCCAACGTTGTCTGTGACACCCACATTCTGTGACTGCATGTCTAACATAAATCGCTAGAGGCCCTCACTGACCTGTGTAATTGCGGTCCAAAACAGGTCCCACTGTGAGGTATAGCCCCTCCATCATCATCATGGCTGCCGCAGGCCAAGAAAGTAACGCGAAAACACTTCGTTGTCGTTTTTACCAAGATAGAAGCTATCGCCACGGTTTTCTTGGAGCCGTAAGTGACTTACAGAAGGCCGAAGTTCTCCAGGATGTGGTTCTTGAAGTGGAGGGCCGCCGGTGTCCCTGGCACCGGCTTGGTTTGTCCGCGGCCAGCCCCTATTTCCGGGCGATGTTTACATCTGATATGTGGGACTGAATATGAAGCTTTTTTTTTGTGTCAATATTTCTGCCTTTTCGGTGTTCACTAACACATACACGCACACACAAATACATGCCTGTCCTTGGTGCTGAAAGCTATCACCGCACACACATACATGGCTGTCCTTGGTACTGAAAGCTATCACCACACACACATACACACACATGCCTGTCCTTGGTGCTGAAAGCTATCACAACACACACACACACACACACATGCCTGTCCTTGGTGCTGAAAGCTATCACCACACACACACACACGCCTGTCCTTGGTGCTGAAAGCTATCACCACACACACACACGCCTGTCCTTGGTGCTGAAAGCTATCATCACACACACATGCCTGTCCTTGGTGCTGAAAGCTATCGCCACACACACACACACACATACATGGCTGTCCTTGGTGCTGAAAGCTATCGCCACACACACACACCTGTCCTTGGTGCTAAAAGCTATCACCACACACACACACACACCTGTCCTTGGTGCTGAAAGCTATCACCACACACACACACAGATGCTGGCATTTACACAAACATGCGCACATACACAGACACACACTTTTTATTAACCACACTGCTCTGTTAACTACACACCATACACATTGTTGGCAGTAACAACACACACACTGTCCTGACAGTTTTGTCAGTGAAACCAGTTGAAAAGTTTATTAAGTGTACTGCACATTCTCTTGACCACACCTCTGGTCTCAGTTTAAAGCAGTCGTAACATCAACATTGTAAAGAAACAGTTGATATAATGTTACATATGCATTGCAAAGCCATGATGTTATAACCAAAATAATAAGAACTCAACTGTTTCATACCTCCTTTTACCATCTACAAATACAAATATGTGTTAAACTACATATAATTATCAACAAAAAATAATGCTGCTCATTTAGTTATCTACTCTTTCCAAGTTCTCTACTCAGCAAATAATAAATAGAAAATAATTCACTCACTCTCCACAACCCTAATTACTAAGTGGACTCTTCCACCTATCCCTTACTGCAGTGGGACAAATGGACGCTGCCATTGTAAAACAGAGGGATTTTTTTGGTAGAATTTCTCGGCTGAAATCTTGACAAAAAACTACTAAACATGCCTTCATCATTAACCAATTCTATCAAATGAAAAAAAAAAGTTCTGCTATCCGCTTATGATTAAGTTAACTAAAAAAATTATGAGCTAGGCCATGTTGATTTGATTATATGGATGACACTTGGAGTAGATGTCAAGGATTTTGATTGGTCAACTGGACATTTGAGTCGCTATGGGAACGACCAATCAGAGATGCAACTGAGGATGGGGAAAACAGCAGAATCAACAAACTAATTAAGGATCCAAAAAATTTGTTGCATAAACAACGTTGCAAAAGAACAAAAATTCTAACAGATAACTATACATATAGTACAATATGGAACATTTTTACCCACCCATCTAATACTTATACCAGTAACTTTCCCAAATCATAATTTCCAACACAATTCATTCCATTTACAAAATTTGTTTTACAAATTTGTATGACAAGTATGTTTGTTCAGAAAATGGGTGAAGTACTGCCCCCAAAACTGTACAAATTAATAACTGCAATAAGACATTTATGTATTATTCTTGTAAATTATTATCTATAATGTTAATTGATGGGAGATTGTTACCTAGAACACAATTGTCACACACTCAGACTTGCTTTAACTGGACTAAGGTGTAAAATATTTCTTTCTTCAAATTTTATGCCTTTGCACATTCTGAAATTGTAGTTCGGAATTTGTTAAATAATATACATGTATATCAACAAATAACCTGCATTTTTTATCAATCTACCATACTGTAAACTGTAAATATTCTATGTCGTAAGGAAATCAGTGTTCTATGCTTGAATGTTGTCATATCTTGCACAAAAAAAGTTGGCAAAAAGGTGACGAAAAAGTTGATTTTTAAAAGTAAAATTTGTTGATTAGTAATATCTGTAGGAAGTGAAATCATAACATTGTCTTTGGAATTATAGCTAGGTAATTTCACATACTAGGACTTCATCAAGTTTTTAAGTCTTTGTATTGAAACAGATACAGTTAAGTGGTCGGGATTGGCTATACCGTACATATAGAAAAAATTCTATGGTACAAATTGTTTTTCTTTTAACAGTAAGTTGTCAAAACTACCCAAAGTGAACCTATATCAATAAATTATTCTAAATGTAAGATGATCACTGTGATTTGAATCTTAACTGCCAACATATCCAAAATAGAACATACAGTATCTCAATGTGCAATGCCAAATTTCAAGTTTTTCGAGCAGTCAGCGAAGTAAAAAGATAAAATTATCATAGAAGGAATTAGTATAATACTACCTTCTTTCGCTTTACATGGTTTGTTCTCCCAATTTTTTTACTTCTTCGATCAATCAAAATTTTTAACTTTTGCCATTTTTATTAATAAGGAAACGCAAATAACAAAGCCTCTGGACTTTTGAGGCAACATAGATGCATTAAACATAAACATTAGTAATAATTTTTAGTGACATCGAAAATGAATAGCTTTATACAAGCTAAATAATGACATATGATTCATGCATTGGTCTACAAATTGTTTTGAGGTAACATTTAAATTTTTTTTAATATGTTATTACAAACATGGGGGTGATAGTCTTTCTGGCAAAACTGATTCAAAATAATATTTTCAAACTTTCATACATTTTTTTCCATTGTTCTTATTAAGCTTTGGCTGTCAATGCTAGATCTACATCTAACAATCTGAAAAAAAATTTTAATTTTTGTAAATTTTCACTGCTGTGACAGGATTACAATAATTTTTTATTATAATGATGGGCTTCAAAAAATCTCTTTTTCCACAATAAGTTTGGAAATGCAACAGAATATGAGTTTCACAATAGTTTAACACTGCTTCAAAACTACAAATCTAGGATTGTACAAAACATTTCTCTGACACACACATGGTGTTTTAAGCTTGCATGTTTGAAGCTCCCTCTAACAGAGTATATCGGTACTGCAGGAGTAACATTTTTTGGACTGAGGCACAGTTTGGTACATTGTATGATCTGCATACCACATTGTTCCTGATTGGAATGCACATTTTCCCAAATATGTGTCTTGCAAGAGTGGAGTATGTCATCTGGAAGCTTCCTAACTTCCCCTCCACTACACCTGGTCCATCCCTACTTTCAAAATGCCACGGCCCTTTTCTCTATGTCAGTCTATTATAACCGGACTGCACCATTACCCCTTTTGGGGGTATCTCAAGATTTTTCGTAAAAAATTTCCCCCTATACAGACAAAATAGTTCATCCAATTTTTGTATTGGAGTTTGTTCTAGTGTGGGCTCTCGGACTTGAAAATAGGGGTGGCAGGGTTTCTTCTGGTGGGGTTTAAACTCAGCAGCACAGCCATCATAGAATTGTACACTTGTCCTGCAATGGAGGAAAAAACACACAAATAGACATTCCAGGTAATAAGATAGATAAGATTAAGAAAATGGTTACTCAAGCAACTGTCAGACGCTTCAAGTAGCATCCATAACTTTTTGTCGGTAGCATCCACTACATTTCACTAACAAGACTGGCAGAATGAAAACATACATTGCCATGGCGACGGTGGTTGCTGTTAGGGTTATTGTTTGCATGGCACTGCCATGATTTCATGATTTTGAGGAAGCCTTGTACCCTACCCTACCCTGAGTGTATAGTGAACGAGCCCCGGGGTCACAGAAAGTACATGTAGGGCATCCCCAGACAGGTTCTCCCAAGGGTTTCCAGGAATGTGGGCATGTTTCAACAAACAGAGCTGGGAGATATTCCTGTAGACATTCCATACCTGTGGACAAAATGTCTACAATTCCTAGAATTCTTGCAAACTGCACACAATACCATTTTGTTCCTCCCTGAGACGTTGCCAAAAAGTAGTGAATGCTACTTGAAATTTCTGACAAAATCGATCCAGTTGCTTGAGTAACTGTTTTCTTGTAAAACACACATGTGAATACAAATGTGCACATGACACTTTTTCCTATGGAAGGTGAAGTTCTATCCTTTTATTTCTGTTATGAATCTCCTTTTCATGCAATGTATCATATCGTGCCTGAAAACAATCTATATGGTACTAGGTACAAAGCATGATTGTTCCTTTTGCTTTGCATGGCGAGCCAATTGTGCCTAAAAAGAAACACCTTAATTGCAAATAGAAATACTGCCTTGTAACATCTGTGTCCATAATATCACCAGGGTACATAATATCGCCACCTTGAGAAATAGTGTGCTTAAAGATATTTTTACTGATATATGAAGGAGTGCATACCAAAAGTATGTTGCGGTAAAAATATCTTTAAGCACACTGTTTCTCAAGGTAGCGATATTATGGACCCTGGTGATATCACTTAACTATCATGAAGGAATAAAGGAGTCATTCAGACACAGAGAAAACCAAAGTTGAGAGATCACAAGCATCAGAATCAGGGCTGCAACAAGAAACAAATAAAGTCAGGGCTGCAAAAAATGCATCTGAGCAAAGAATTTCATACTACAAGGGGGTTTCAGTGCGTGTATTTTGAAGCCTTCAATAAGATTGAAAACAAGCGGTCAGTTCAAAATCCCTTTTTTTGTACACTGAATGAGTTGCAGATTGTATAGAAAATTTGTAGTTTTGTATAGAAAATTTGTAGTTTTGTATGTTTTTTCCATTTTTGAAATTCTAAACTTGATTGAAAGAAACATAGTCATTAAAAGAAACAAAGTCCTGGTATATTTCCAAATAGCTACAATACGTGTAGTATGAATTCATGGTGTATAAGGTAAAGAACACTCTTCAATAGCAAGAAAGTGGGAGGGGGTGCAGCCATTTTTTTTGCTGTTGTACGCATGCAGGCATGCCGTACCTCTTTCTTCTTGGGTGCAGCAGGGGGTTGCCCCCCTGAGGCGACCGGTTGAGATGGTTGAGGGGGGGTCGGAGGTTTAGGTTGTGAAGGTGCCTGGAGAGGGGGGAGGGGGTGAAGAGTACAGCCACAAGAGTGGTGAGAAGAGAAAAAGGAGAAAGACAGAGAGTTCTGGGTAGTGCTGTGTACCGGTTCACTGGACCAGTTCCGGACTTGTAAAAATGTTTAGGTTCAAGTCCAAAAAAAACTAAAAGTCAAGAACCGATTCCAGACGTATTACAAAAAAAAACCCCATGTCACATACCCCTTTTCTTTTCAAACCACCTAAAACTATCCATAGATTGCAAAATCTGTGCTGCCAAATGAAGAAAACATTGCCATTGGGCATCGTCAAGTACCGGCCTCCATGTTATGTGTCCAAAGTTTTGCCCAAACAACATTGCAAGGTTGCCAACATGCAGTTTTGTACATGCCATGGGTTTAGGTCCGGACTTACAAGTCTGGAACTGAACCTAAACCTCTGGACTTGAATCCGGACCTGAACCTAAATGTGGGTTTAGGTACACAGCACTAGTTCTGGGGAGGAAATTCAATACCACGTACTTTCTTGCACTTTATCCTAGGGATCACCCATGCATCTCAAATTTCAATTGATAAATTAGAAACATTTGTTTTATTTCAATTCCTTTTCATATATACTGAAATAGAAGATATCAATACAATATAATAATTTGGTACCAAAAGCTACCAAATTGTACTGTAATAGCATTTACTTTTGTGGCGTATTTGTTTTGGCAGTTTTCGGGGTGTCTATTACAATGTAGCATGCGATATATTTTGTATTTCTATTACACTAAAAAATTGTTTTAACCGTGAAATTCAAACACCAGGAAAATCTTCTTTCCCCTCACACCACAAAATAAAACCACTGTGAAAGTAAATGTATTTATGGTAGTTCATCAAACCCATTCTGTACTTCCTGATTTTTTCACTGTACTTTTATGTTTACTGTTTTCACTGTCGCTTCTGTACCATGAACTTATCATTACAGTTAACAAATAATTCCCGGACTTTCTTTTTCATGCACCTGTCACCACTGTGAATATATAGTTCTGTGAACATGTCCATTTTTCTCAGACAGTGAACTTTTGCTATCGTGAACATAAAGTGAATTACAGTACCTTAGACTTTGCATTTACAGATGGTTCCAAGAAATCTACACCCTCAAAAACAGTTGATGCTTTTTCTTTTTCAGGGTAAAATCTCACCTCTTTCTTCCTGGGGGGTTGACCGGCTGGGATGGGCTGTGCCTGGGGGGGTAGGGGCTGGGGCTGGGCAGCGCCCGCAGCCTGTTGTTGTTGTTGTTGTCGCTGCTGTTGTTGTTGTAACTGCTGAGCGTACAATTGCTGCGCTCTCGCATCTTCTTCTTCTTGTAGCTTCTTGGCGAGCTCAAGACTATAACAACAGGAAGACATATTTTACTCAAGAAACTACATTGGTAAACCAGTATGTGGAATGTATTTCGTTGTGTGTGGATGGTGTTCAGCACCAAGGACAGGCATGTTCACCTGTGTGCGGATAGTGTTCAGCACCAAGGACAGGCATGTTCACCATTGTGTGGATAGTGTTCAGTATCAATGACAGGCATGTTCACCTGTGTGTGGATGGTGTTCAGCACCAAGGACAGGCATGTCCACCTGTGTGTGGATGGTGTTTAGCACCAAGGACAGGCATGTTCACCTGTGTGTGGATGGTGTTTAGCACCAAGGGCAGACATGTTCACCTGTGTGTGGATGGTGTTCAGTACCAAGGGCAGACATGTTCACCTGTGTGTGGATGGTGTTCAGTACCAAGGGCAGACATGTTCACCTGTGTGTGGATGGTGTTCAGCACCAAGGACAGGCATGTTCACCATTGTGTGGATAGTGTTCAGCACCAAGGACAGGCATGTTCTCCTGTGTGTGGATAGTGTTCAGTACCAAGTACAGGCATGTGTTTAGTACCAAAAAGGACATAAGGAGTTCCTACTCACTCTGACATGGCAGCCGGCTGCTGTTCTCCGTCCTGTGCTGCCTCCTGTTGTAGGGTCAGCGCTACTAAATAGTCCTGCAAGGGGGGAGGGGGGCACGTAAGACTAAACAGTCAGAAATACTGTTGAAAGTACAACACAGTTTTCTTGGTGTCACAAGGCATAGGAAAAAAAATGCTGTGTTTCCTGTTTCAGTCCTGACAAAAGTAGGGTTGGTAGGTAGGGATTATCTTTTTTTTTCTTTTTTTTTTTTAGACTTCAGTGATATTTATGTAGGGGTCAAATTTCTTAAGATGTGCGGAATTCGGGGCCAACTTTTTAGCTGTCAACAAAATTATGTATTTTTGGCAATGCCTCGGGAGGAGGCATGGCATATTTGGAAGCTATAAATTCTAGTGTCAACACTTCATGCATATCATCCCATAGAAACTATAATATTAGAAAGGTAACATTTGCAAAGCAAATGCAAAATGGTCTGCTCTGTTAATTCTTACTCAAACACATTCCCATATACAGTGACAGGAGTCTAAATCCCTGCTACTAAAAAATTGCAACATGATGTAACCCAACACCATGGTGAGAGACATTTGGTTCAGGTCATTGACCAGGTTAGAGGTCAGTGTTTGGAACGGAAGAAGAAACAGAGCAAAAACAATATGTTTCCCGAACTCAAACACATTCCCATATATGGTGACAGGAGTCTCAATCCCACCTACTAAAAAATTGCAACATTATATAACCCAACACCATGGTGAGAGACATTTGGTTCAGGTCATTGACCTGGTCAGAGGTCAGTGTTTGGAACGGAAGAAGAAACAGAGCAAAAACAATATGTTTCCCTTCGGTAAACATAATTAGAGGGCGTGGTGAGTTTGTATCCATGGCAACAAGGAGAGCAATACCTGGTCCATTTGCTGTTTGCTTTGTTGAGGCAGCGGCGCATAGCTAGCGAGCGTTCGGAAGGAATCGCCCAATGAGCTCACGACAGTTTTCAGTACCTGATCGATCTGCTGTTGGGAACTCAAAGGCACTTGTGCGGACCCCCCGTGGTTTGGTATGGTCGTCCGGAAGTCGGCGTCAACAAAGGTAGAATCACCTGAAAAAAAAAACACAGATTAAATTTTCATGAAAGTTCATCTGTGTCGGTAGTAATCACAGTAAAATGTTCAACTTTATTCCAACACAAGGATTACACAGAGATCAAATTTTCTGTAATGTCTCGTGTGAATGAGGTCACCTTCTACGTTGGAAAGTGTCTCCCACACAACGTTGGGCTCTCCCAGGAAACCCTGGTCTGTCACCAGCAGGAAGAGCTCACTCTGAAAAATAAGGGGTGTTCATGAACAAAAAAAACAACAGAAAACAGAAAGCCATGCCAACTCAACAAGAAAAATTTTACAGTACTTACATTTGTACTATGTATTCATCTATTTGGTATTGAGAAGAAAGTCTCCAAAATGACATACTAACTGCTTTAAAAGTAATAAAACATCTACTGTACATTTTTGTTAAAGTATATTCTGATTTTTAGAGTTAGCCTGTACCTAAAACGAATCTCATGGCTCTGCACATTTTTGACTCTCAGTTTTGTCAGATGATACTACCGGGTACTTCTGTTTTTCTATACGTATCTATGTCTGTTGAGTGTTATAAAATTTTGGCAATGCCTCAGGGGCGGTCCTTACCTTGTGTTTGTACATCGTACTGAAGTGATTGTTCCTAAAGAAGACGCAGAACTCGCCCTCCTTGACCGTGCCACTCAGCTCTGCCAGACCGTGGTACGTCAGCTGTGAGGCCGTGCTCTCCAGGTACGCTTCCGCCATCATACCTGCGAGGGACGGCGCAACACGGCCGTTTTTAAAGGTATCCAAGACCAGAATTCGAAATGCTGGGTGCGCGTGCACCTTACTGCACCCAAAATTGGACTTGTGCAACCATTTTTTTCCTGTGGGTGCACTGACACCCAAAGTTTTTTGTAGGTGTTTTTGTAAATATGAAATGTGACACTTAGATGCCAAGAATATCCTGTATACTATGATACATACGTTCCCATTTCAGATTCAAGCTCAGAAGAGAAGCAGTAAGATCTGTTACATGTATTACATTTGTTTTATAATATGGTGCACCCAAAAAAATTTTTTGTGCACCTAATTTTTAGGTTGGGTGCATGAATTTCGAGGAAGGTGACAGACGGTCACCGAAACGTCGGCTAAATAAAAGACTTGGTTGTGTAAAAAGAGTCTCTTTACTAAGTGACTTACCAACCTGATGAAACGGGATCAGTCAACATGTTCAACCCCCCCCCCCATCTCCCCCTTCATAATTACATTGAGTTGTGCCTGACCTTGACTGACATTTTTCTCATCATCAGTCAAAATGTTCGACCCCTCCCCCTTCAGGATTACATTGAGTTGTGCCTGACGTTGACTGACATTTTTCTCATCATCAGTCAAAATGTTCGACCCCTCTCCCCCTTCAGGATTACATTGAGTTGTGCCTGACCTTGACTGTTTCAATATTTTTCTCATCGTCAGTCAAAATGTTTGACCCCTTCCCACTTCAGGATTACATTGGGTTGTGCCTGACCTTGACTGACGACCTCGCTGTCCTGTGCTGACTTGCTGGAGATGATTTTCTCCACCAGCTGGTTGTAGCTGCAGTTCCCGACCGCAGTCACGATGTCCAGGTTCTGAGGGTCAATCAGCCAACCGTGGTAAAGGGCTATTCCTGCAAAGGGGACAATAACAAGATCAGGGTTCGAAATTAACTTTTTTTACTATTGCAGTGTACAAAACACTTTTTTGAACCAGGTTGCCCAGTGGGCAACCTACGGCAAAAATTAGGTTGCCCATCAGAATTTTAGGTTGCCCCACCTATAAGTTACTACTCTAGTACTTTCCTCAATTAAGTAATGTCACATACATAAGCCTATGACAATATTTCTAACAGCCTTTAGTTAACTGATACTAGTAATAGCCATTAATACCTAAAATTAAAAAACATCTGCCAGATACAGTGGTGCAAGCCAAGTGGGTATGATTTGGGGGGGGGGGGCAATTAAAATTTCAGGTAACACACAGGGCTACCTAGGTTCAAAAATAGGTTGCCCCCAAGTAAAATTTGGTTGCCCGGGGCAACCGGGCAACCAGGTATTTTGCACACTGGTTACATATGTTGGTTACACTAGGTTGGACAAGTCCAATCGCCCACTTTCCCAGGGCAAATAAAAGCAATGTTCGGGCAAGTACATGTGCCCCTACATTTGCCTGATTGGGCAAGTAAATTTTTTTGGATGCAAAGTATAGCCGCTATGGTGTTTGGAGCATGTCAAACCACCTTATTTTGATAAATAAAGCATCCAACATTATAAAGTCCAAAACAAAATAATTTCCTCAGTCAGTGGTAGTGAAAATGTATAGAAAAACATGTATGTATATTTCGGGCAAGTGAAAAGTTGGTTAGGGCAAGTGGAAATAACCTTGTACTTGCTTGCTGATATTAAAGGCAAGTGGATTTTTGAAAACATGTCCAACCCTGTGACACTCATCCAGGTAAACTGAAACAACAGGAGCTTTTGACTAATTTGCATCATCCTTGTCTTGACTAAGTGTCTAATTTATAATTATAACTTTTGTTCAAAAAAATTGTTTTCATTTATTTGCATATCAATCAATAGTTCTTGCTTATGATATTTTTTTAAATATAAACCTGCATTTCTGCACAAGTTCTCTAGTGTCACTGACGAATATGCATTCTTTAATGTGCCACTTAACTGTACCACAGAATTGTTCCAACAGCAAACTTCAAACACCACAAAAACCTCCCCTTCCCATCTAATGCAAAACTAAATCCATTTACAGTAAATGCATTTCTCTGGCTTTTTTAGTGCAGACCTAACACTTGTGACATACCAGATGTTGGAACGACTCCATCTTACCCAAGCTTACGCCTTAATAAATCAGATTACAACCGAACACATGCCACATGATATGCTACAATTTTCATCTGTAAGTGTAATTTAAAGACCGCAGAAAAATATCTGTACTGGTTAGCTACACATATTGGTTATTTCTTAGATCCATATTTCTCTACTTCACAATTTAAAATGTTGAGGCAGGAAAGTGCTGCCAAACTGACCTAATTTAAAACATCAGAGCTCGTATGAATTATTTATTACATGTCAGATATCATCAAGCAATTATATTCCTCACTGATAACAGCATTATCTTTGCCCCTCCAGATGTCATTTGTATGAAAATAAAACTTCCTTTTGCAACTGCACATAACTTATGACACTGTCCCATAGAATTCAATCTGGGAGTTCTAAATGGGCACCATTAATTCAGATCTTATTTTTAATCTTTGAACTACTATTAAGCAATTACTTTCCTATTGAAAACAGCATTATCTTTGCCCCTCCAGATGTCATCTGTAAGAAAATAAAACTTCCGTTCCAACTGCACATAACTTATGACACTGTCCCTTAGAATTCAATCTGTGAGTTCTACATGGGCACCATTTATTCAATCCTACATTTCTTAATCTTTGATTGAACGTCCTTGATCGAATGATGATATTATTACCAAAGGTTTAGTACATCCTGGCAAGATTAGATGTAAAAGGTGGGCTTTTGATTAATGTTTTCATTTTCATATAGCAACAAATTTTCTACTTATGGCCACAAGGATAGGGAATTCATTTCTAAATCATGCTCCTGTACAAGTGACTCCAAATGACTCCAGTCTGTATAATACATGTTAGTGGTGGATAAAACTTTTGGAATAATGTTCAATGCTCCTTTTAAGTGTAAAAGAAATAATGGCAATGGTTCCTGAACAGTTTTTTTTGTGATGCATACATTGTGAGTACATGGTGCAAGTAAAATTTGCCTGGTGCAGGTAATTTTCATTGTTACTTGCACCGGTGCACGTATGTAGGAAAAGGTATGTTGCTATTAAAAAAACAGTTACTCAAGCAACTGGGTATGATTTTGGAAATGGTCAGACGTTACAGTATAGCACATGAATAATGTTCGTAGCCAGGATTACCCTATGTGCAGCCTCCTCATCCCGAAGATGGTATCAACTTAAATCAAGGTACAGCAGTAAATAAATATTCAACACTTACCTAACAGATCGAAGACTATACACTCGGGCGTGTACTCGAAGTGCCGGACTCCAGTAAACTTCACGTTCACATCCAGGCCTGTCTGAAGCTTGTGGAAGACCGACATGGCATCGTGGAAATTCTGCTCGTAGTTTAAGAGTTGACCCTCCGTGCAATTCTTAGGCGCACTTGAGAGGATACAGTCACCTGTACACATGAATGGGAGAAGAGAATGATGATAAAATATTTACTTGTAATAAATGATCAAAACTTCCTGATGCTGCTCAATTTAAACAAGTTTAACTAGAAAAGTAACATTTGAATTAAGCAAATGCATGATGTTTACCATTGCATTATATTAATTCTTACTCAAACACATTCATATACTAGTACTAGTATATGGTGACGAGTCTAAATCCCTCCTGCTGTAAAATTGCAACATGATAATGATGTTATTGTAACACAATAATACAGTAGTTACTACGGTGACAGACATCTGGTTCAGGTCATTGACCTTATTTGTATGGAGAAGAAGAGGAAGAAGAAACAGAGCAAAAAACAATATGTTTTCCTTCTGCGAAGGTAAACATAAATATTATCGTCAACAACCTTGAATAATAAACATCTTGCAGGACCACAAAACATCAATTAATCCACCCTAAACTATAAACGTTTTTATTGAACACATTTTAGCGAACACATAACTTTACCACCAATGAAATCTTGGCTTTCGCTGTGCAGTTTAATTCAATTGACACGAAATTAAGCGAATTTACGGTACTAGCTAGTGACAGTTTCATCCCCAAACCATTATCTATACCTGACACACACCCCTCACCTAAATAATCCATAAGCTGATCGGACGTGACCACTTCCGTTCCGGGGGGTAGTTGCACCTTCCACGTCATGAAAAGAACATTCATGAGAGCCAGCAATGGGCACGGGCCGTTCTCATTCTGCGTCACGATAGGGGTGTCCTTTCCTTTCCATTTTATCCACTTGACTTGGTAGAGACTTTGCGCTGCTGATGCTACCTTCCCGGGGGACAGCTCTCCCCCCTCCGCGCCTAATGGTTCCTCCCCTTCCACCCCTTTCTCAGAAGTACTTGGTATGGCCCCGATGGGATCAACTTGCATACAGGATTCGGGGCTAATCTTTTCCCCGGTTTCTGAGTCATTGTTCGGGTCGTTGTCGTCAACTTGCATCTTGTTGTTGTCTTGTCTTGCTTCTGTCGTACCACTTTCAGCCGAGGCATCAGAAAGCTCTTCCCTATTCTCTATAATGGCGTCAATTCCCGAACTCTCCCGTTGTATAGAGGCCTCTGGTATAGACTCAGTCTCCTTTTCTTCGGCGTTAGACGCGTCTGTTTGGATTAGAGCTTTCGGCTCGTCTGTTGCATCGGTGGGTTCTTTGGACAAACAGTTGGGATCAGCTGTGTTTTGTTGAGTGTCATCGGGTAGACCAGCCGATTCGTCGCCGAGTTTTAACGATCCTTCCTCGGGATTCGCTCCGATTTCTCCCGATTGCTTGGCCTCTGAGCCTTCTGCGCTAGCCATGCTGTCTACGTCTGGCGTTGATTCTTGATTCTCGGCCATGGCGTGGAAGAATAAGGATGAATTTGGTGGAAAGTTGCAAATTTCACGACGTCGCCGCCGCCATCTTTGATCACAATGAGTCAAAGCGCAAGCGCAATAATATTGGGATATGCCATTCGCGTTTCAGGGGGGAAACTTGAGTTGAGTCACAGGTGAATCATGTCAATGGCAGATGACACGGAAAACAACAAAGAAAATGTCTTTAAATTATTAATAAAAAAAGGGACAAATTCATGTGACTTTTGCCAAGTTTACAAGTTTTCCTTCTTCTATAAATGCATAGAATTGTCATGTGTGTGCGGGACTTTATCACTGAAAGTTTCTATGCATCGCAACTGTAAGTCATGCGTATCAGTGTAAACCCTTCCTTTATTGTAAGCAGAAACATAAAATAGACATACCGGTAAGTAACAATAATTATTATGTCGTGACAAAAGTTACTACTGTTCTATAAAATATCACTACATTAACGTTAATCCTGTTTGAACCAACTCTGTCATTTTCCCCACAAAACCAGTGGGCAGTTAATTTGATTTATGACTTGTATCCCATGCCTGAAGCTGGTTTGCTTGGCTGACTGGAATCAGGTGTACAAAATACGTCTTACCACCCACACACATTCTCATGTCATGAGGTGATGCTAACATTACAATACATCCTTTGTCAAGAATAAATAAACAAATAAGATGAAAGTAAAATGGCAATAATAATAATCCGCCAAGACCTTAAGGAAATGCAAGGGATGCCCAATTTCCCCCCAAAACATATTTTTAAACGGACTTAAATTATCATACATACATTAGATACGTTCAAATTCCTGTCCATACGGTGTCTGAATACCCCTTTATTATAACCGGTATTTCAACATCCCCCATTTGACCCTCACGAAAACAATGTTGGGCGGCGGCCATGTTGAAGTGTCATGCTAATGTTTTGGGATGTCAGTGACTAAAATTGGACCCTAAATATTCGCACGTAGCTTCAAGACGATTCTAAGTTTGCTGCGAACATCTTTAGCACTCAAGTGAAGAAAGTCACAGAGTCTTGACGCTTTCAGTAAGGTCCCAAAGTCCGTTAGCTCTGGTTTAGGCTTGCCGCAAAACAGGTGCTCTTAGCTGTACTGTTTTTAGTTTCAGTTCCGCAAAAAATTATTGTTCTGTGCTAAAAGTCACAAAGAAAGAGGAAAATGAAGACTGCTTTGGTCGTCGTGTGTTTAGCTCTTCTTTCCACCGTAGTCATCACAACAGGTAAGTGAAAATAGGCTGACTATATTGTCAGGTTTTGGGGGCAATTTATTTTTGATTTACGAAATTATGGGGAGGGGGGCACAATTTCTTTCCCCTAAAAATAATGCTCGAAAATGCATCAACACTGAAATTTATTCCATGTTATCTGTTCCTTTAATAAGGTTACATTATTAATATTATGAGTATTATGAGTATTTTTTTCAGTTCCAACACTAAATTTCCACACATGTAACGTTATACCAAATATTATATTTATTTTGAACAATGTTTTGTTGATAGGCTATGCTAATGCCAAATTGCAAAATGTTAACATGTTTTTCCTGCAATCTCATATTTTTAGTTGGTAAAATTGCAGGTATGAAAATTATTTCTGAGATGGTTATATTATAAACCATATTAGCAAGAGTAAAAAAGGAAAACATATTGTTTTTGCTCAGTTTCCTCTTCTTCTTCTGTTCCGAACACTGACCTCTGACCTGGTCAACCAGACTGTCTCTTACCAAGGACATTATACACAAATAATGTCCTTGCTCTTACCAACTAGTGTTACATCATGTTGCAATTTTATAGTAGGAGGGATTTAGACTCCTGTCACCATATATGTGAATCCGTTTGAGTAATAATTAACAGAGGAGACCATATGCAAAGGTAAACATTAATGATTAAGCAAATGTTACCTTTCGAGTTTCATATACTTGAATTTGTTATTGACTTTATTTGTAAAGGTGAGAGACTGAATGACTTCATAAGTCACTACGAAGGACTCAGGTACAGTACAGGGACTCTACAGGCCAAGCATGAGAGGGTCAGGAGGGCGGCTATGGGGGAGGCCACACATGAGGATGTGCACCTCGCATTCTTTGCACATGGAAGGTAAAAAGCAACAACAAAATATCTTTATTTTTACTTTTTAGGAAACGAAATTGAGACATGATCTGAGGAGATATTTTGTTGTTTTGCTGACTCACAGTGTCATTCTGTTAAGTATTTTTTTTTTGCTATACATTTCATTGTATCAAAATATCACAAAATGGTGGTAGTTGAGTCAACTATTTTCAGTACCTTCCTCAACTTGTAGATTTCCCCCCTGCACAATTTGGGGTATGAATAAATATAAACGGTATAAATACTAGTATGTAATGGCAATATTGCATTATTTTTTATTGCAGAGATTTCCACCTACAACTTTCACCAGACAACAGTATGTTCAGTAAAGATTTCCAACTGGAAACAAGCAGAGGTGTTCAACAGATAGACCTGTCTCATATCTACTCTGGCTATCTTGTTGGTGAGTGTCCCAGTAGTGTAAAATCTATGTCTTTACTGTGTTAAATAGTATTAAGCTTTGAGTTTGTATGCACCTGTTTTAAGAAGAGGGAAGACCTGGAAGAGACATGAATTTGTTGCGATAGACTTGATGCTAGCATAGCCTTATTTTAATTATACTGATTGTAAACCATATACTGTAGCATAGTTTTAGTTGTGTTGTTTCTCCAACGAATGTAATGATTCTTAGCACAAATGTTTTATGTGAAACTACTGACTTTAGCCCACATGGGCAAGAACATGCAAATAAAACAAGACCGGCAATGAACACATGCATTACAATGGCGACAGTGGTTGCTGTTAGGGTTATTGTTTGCATGGCACTGCCATCATTTCATGATTTTGAGGATTAGCCTTACTACCCTCTCTGAGTGTAGAGTGAACGAGCCCCGGGGTCACAGAAAATAGGTCATCCTGGCAGACAGGTTTTCCCAAGGGTTTTCAGGAATGTGGGCATGTCAGAAAACAGAGCTGGGAGACATTCCTGTGGACATTCCATGCCTGTGGAAAAAATTCCTGTACAATTCCTAGAATTCTTGCAAACTGTACACAATACTGTACAATTAGGCTCCTCCCTGAGATGTCGCCAAAAAGATCCAATCAAACATCATTCCCTTGTTTTTAGGAGAGCCTGGTACCACCATGTGTCATGGCAGCATCATCAATGGCAGGTTTGAAGGGTTCATCTACACACCAGAAGGGGACTACTACATAGAGCCTGCAGAACGCTACAACACCAGCGCTGACTTCCACTCTGTCATGTACAAGGCGGAGCATGTAGAGGACCCCCTGCCAGGACAGAAAACGGGATGCGGCGTCCACGGAGACTACACGCTACACGAGCCCAAAACTGACTTCCCGCCCGAAGAGGTAGAATTTTCAGGGCTCGAAATACTGGGTGTATGTGCACCTTTAAGTACACCCAAATTTGGAGCTAAATATTTTCGTAGGTTTACGTATGTAAAGATGTTAAATGTATAGTAGTACAATGTATACAGCATATTCTTAACAACCAAGTGTCAGAAAAAAATAAAATCATTGCTGTAGTACTTTTCTTAATGAAATATAATAAGTTTTCACTGACATTCTAATTAGTCTATTTTATATGGTGCACCCCAAAACTTTTTTGTGCATCCAATTATTAAGGTTGGGTGCACCAGTGCACCTATTCCTAAAAATGATTTTCAAGCCCTGATTTTTATGGGTCAACTTTTTTATGGGAATGACGGAACTTTGAAAATGTTTTGCATTAAGTATAATCCTAGAAGCATATGTAGGCCTAACTAAATGCATAGAAAATTGCTAGCCAAATGCCTACTTCAGTGTGCTAAAGGTAAAGCACACTTTCCTCCTTGTAACTAAATGATAGAGAATTGGCTGCTGCCAATTGCTGCCAAATAGCTACTTCTTCACTGTGCTAAATGTTAAACCAATGATTCTCTTTCCTCCTAGGTTGATAATGAAGTTAACCACCACGAGTACAACAAGTACGCTGATCCCCACAAACGCTACCGTCGACAGACAGTACCCACCAAGAACACCTGTCAGATCTACATCATGGCTGACCACAAGTTCTACGCGTAAGAAACCAACTTCCTGTAGAAAACTTTCCATATTGTAGAGTTGTGTGGCACAACGTAGGGTCGTGTGGTGCAACGGCAGTGTACTCGACTTGGAACCAAGAGGTCCTAGGTTCAAGTCCTGACATGCCACCGATCTTGTGCCCTTGGGAAAGGCACTTTACACGACTTTCCTCACTTGACTCATGTGAAAATGAGTATTGCCTGTCCTGTATTTGTGTCTATGTGTGGGACACAACACCAACAACAGCTGCCTGTGTCCCACGTGTATTGCACTGTTGCAATGTTAATAAATCAAATCAAATCAAATCAAATCAATGGTTGCTGGCTTGCTGCAGATTTCTTCTTTGAGGCAGCCGCCTTCAACTACCTGAAGATTCTGCTGCCTTTTTGTGGCTAATAGATGGGGTTCGCCAGGAAAGTTGTGTAAAGTGCCTTTCCCAAGGGCACAAGATCAGTGACATAGCAGGGTTTGAACCTGGGATCTCTTGGTTCCGAGCCAAATGCTCTGCCGTTACGCCACACAACCCCATGATTTTGACATTTTCATATAAATTCAAACATTACATGTACCTGTACAAGCACATTATCAGTCCATACTATGTAGTCTGTGTGAGGTAGGTTACTCTCATATAGTATGTTTGTGACACATAACCACTATAGATGCCAACTTTGCACCTTGTACAAGTGTTGTGCAACGTTTATATTATATGAATCATTATGCAAATAATACACTATACAATAATACACTCTACTAGAAAAAAGGTTGGAAATACAAAATATTATACATCATAATTAGCTAAAGCTAGTTACTGTAACAGGGTTTTTTATAAACAGGGGAATAAGGGAGCTGCTCCCTCATGTAACCAGCCAGCTCCGTCATATCAATTTTCAGATTGAACCCTAAGTGGCTACATACTACTTTACTAGTACACAACATTAAGTCTTTCTCAAAATGATCTTTTTCCAGTGAATTTATAAAAACAAAACATTGTAACAATGCATTCTAGCATTAGCATAACTGTGTTACTCAAATCTACTCCGTCATGTTGATTTTTTTAGAAAAACCCCTGGTTACAACATTTGAAATGTTATGTTTTTCTCTGTTTCAGATATTACGGTACATGGGAAGCTGCAGTGGCCCAGCTTGCAGCCCACGTGAAAGCTGTGAATGCCATCTACAGACCACTGGTACTGGACGACAAGACTGGATACGGCATTGAAGTCACCAGAATCAGGGTTTGTATCATTATGTTTGTTTTTGCATAACCGGTAAACTGCCTTTAGGTGTAACACACCAGTTTTGTACATGTACGTACACGTACAAGCTGCGTAAGACCGGACTGTAAAGTTTGAACCACTCACAATGGGAAGGTCCCCTACTCTTACATGGGATACATTTCAACATACGCTCCGTATTTAGAAAACCAGCACAAATCTATATTTTTTTTTACCGCAGTGGGGGTTGAAATGCTTTTTTTTCAGCGGCCTGCAATATTGCAGAATGTCAAAATTTTGTTCTGCAATCCAGAAATACTTCCTGCAAATACACACTTAAAAGTCTGTATCTAATTCTAAACCCATGGCATATACAAAATTGTATGTTTGCATGCAAAATTACCTGAGTCAGTAGTATACACAAAATCTCTTAAACACCATTGAACCCCTAGCCTGTCTTTTTCAGTCTGCAAAATTGCAGGTTGCTTTAATTTTTCTTCTGCAATATTGAAAACGTCTCTGCAAAATACAGACTGCAGATGGGTATTTTCAACACTGTTACCTGTTGTCTGTGTTTTCTATTGTTAGATCAACACCACGGAGGATAGTTTAGAGACTAACAACCCCTTCAGGCCGGAAAACATTGGTGCAGAAGCTTACCTGGACCTGCTGTCCAACTACAACCACAACCCCTACTGTCTGGCCTACGGGTTCACAGACAGGGACTTTGAAGGAACTCTGGGACTAGCCTGGGTCGGAAGTATTTGCTCCAGGTAATTGTACATTCTTTTAGGCCACACCAATTTAATTTGTTGGTTCTCAGATTTTTTCAGATTCGAAGAAATATGAAGCGGCAGGGCGAAAAAAAAAGAAATAAAAACAGGTCTAGGCATCCTATTATAAGCCCCAAATGCAACGATAGAAGCCATGGAATCAACACAAAAGGCTGGGTTAAAATTGAAACAAATGAAATTTTAAATTTTGGTCAAATTACTGCATTGATAGATGAAAAAACTCTTTACAAGTAGGAAGAAAATTACCTTCCTCAACTGTGGGGGGGGGGCAAAATAATGAGCATTTTTTAG